GTTTGAGAAAAATACACAAAGAAATTTTTTAGTGTGTTACATTGAATTGTTATGTTATTGAAGTGTTATATTAGAGTGTTACATGATTGTGCGTAATGTGATATTTGTTCCAAAATGAGAAAAAATTCAAAATCTCTATAATATGGATTGCCTAAATATGTAATTTTACATTTATAGAAATCCACTTTTATCCCTAAAAAATTAAACCCATACATGTAAGTGACTACTCTTTTATATAATTTTTACTTTAATGAGATATTTGGGTTTATAAGAAAAAATAAAAGATTAAACAATTTACAAGATCACATTTTAAGATTTATTGATACTTTATCCTATTAAAATCTCCACCAAAAATTTTCAAGTTATACAAGGTAAAATTACTTTGGTAATTGGCTTCCTCGATTAATGATTCTGTGTACTTGAATTTTTCTATTTAATATCTTAATGCACACTTAACTATTAAATTATATAAAACTTTTAAAATATATTTGAACAATAATGCTATAGGCCCCGGATAAACTACCAAGGAGATGACCGAATGCCTATTTGGCATGTCCACGTAAATTACGTGAGACCTACCACTCATAAACGTCAAGATCCTCACGTGATGTGAATTGATGCACTAAGGATCTTCTAGAGTGAAATTTTCCTAAAGTTTCCTAGAGTGCTACATTGTATGGTTGAGATTTACTGGCAAGTCACATCAGAAAAATTGATGTGACTTGCCAGTAAATCTCAACTACACAATGTAGCACTCTAGGAAACTTTAGGAAAAAATTACTCTAGAGGATCCTTGCTCTGATTGATGCTGATGCTGCCCGTTTTCCTTAGTGAAAGTCCAAGTTAAAATAAAAACAAACAATTCATGGTATCAAAAAATAATATTAATGCTATAATTATTATATATAGAGAAATTTATTAGAAAAAAAAATTTTAAGCACTTTTTTCAAGTACTTATATTTTAATTAGTTTATAACCTATATTTATTTTTCAATAGGTCATATTATTTGGATGTTTAGTTGTCATTTGGCATGTGGGTTAGCTTTTTTGACTTTTTAACATTTTGGCTATTTTAGTTCTGGTTAAAAAATTCGTTTGGATTGATTTTTTAACTTTTGTGAGAGAAAAAATGAAATGATTATGATTTAGATATGATATTTTGTCATTAATTTTTTAATTTATTTTCCTTTTTTGTGGCTAAATTAGGCCCAACCTATGATGCTAAACCAAGTCTTACTTCACCAAATCTTAATTCTCAAGTCTGAATTGTAACTCGAGCTTGTTTGCCCAATTCCGATTTGAATTAATCCGAGTTGCCCGAATTGCCTGTATTACACATAAATTTCAATTTTTTTAGTGCAGCTAAGTTAATTAATTTGTTAAAATTAAGCTATTTACAATTTTTTTAATATAAAATCATTAATAACATCAAAATAAATAATTTATATAATGTAAGAGAGATACCGTTATGATGGTATTTACAATTTATGACTGAGAAAAAATAAATAAATAAAATTTTGTATTATGTTACTTATGTGTATTAATATATTTAATATGATTTAATGATCTAAATATCATCTAATGCCTACAATAATTTATATGTATAATCAATATTTTTATACAATTATATATATAATTTGAATTTTGGATTGCTCAAGTTGTTTGATATCTTTGTCCAAACTCAGTCAAATTTAATTTTTGAACTTTTGAATTTTTCTCCAAGCCCGTTTCGAATTTAAAAATATTTTTTCTAAGCCTTAAAAATTTTGAATTGGGCTCGGGTTGCTCGGGTTGAGCCCACCCAAGTGGCACCCTTAGGTTCAGTTCAGTGGTTATAAGGAAAAATATTCAGCACTATATCTAAATTATTTAGTTTAATAATAATTAATTTTACATACACAAGTATTTTGAAATTTTTATAAATATGCTTTACAATTTTAAAATATATAAAAATAAAATAATTTCTTCATGTTATGGTTTTGTTTGGCAATGACCAAAAAAATCGTAATTTTTTTAAAAAAATTTAAAGAAATTTGTGTCAACAATATTTTCTTTTAAAGTTTTTCTAGATTAGAAAGATCTCATAATATAAAAAATAATAATAAATTGAAAAACAATCCAAAAAAATGCTACATTAATCTTTTTTTGGTGTTTAATCAATTTTTTTTTTATTTTGGATTTTTCAAAAAATATATTTTCATGCTCTTCTAAACAAGTAAGTACTTAAAGAGAAATTTAAGGGAAAATTACACATTAGTGTGATTGAGAAAATTATTTTAAAAAAATTAAAAAATTTATGATTTTAAATATTAATATTTATAATGTTTATCACTTATTTTGTAAATAATTTTTCTAATCTCCATTGTTGTGTAGTTGCCCAAAATTTAATCAACAATTTCTAATTCTTTTGAAATTGAAACCAAATTGTTCATTCAAAATAGAATTTGGACAAGTTGAAAATAATTTTTTTTTTTGGAGGGGTAATAGCATTTCAGTGGAATAACAAAAAAAATAATTACATTATAAATGAAATCTTTCTTGGTGCAAGTCTAACATATATAAAAAGAGTTGCAACATATATAGAAAAAGGCTCACACTATACACAAAAAAGACTCGCTCCTTAGGAAAATGAAAATATTTTGTCATTGTCTTATTTATTGGAAAATTTTTCTATTTTTAACACCTTTAATTTGAGTATTATAACGTATTTATCAGCTCATAAATTACTATTATAATAATAATATATATGAGATATGAGATTTTTTTAATTAATAAAATAATAATAATATATGAGATTATAAACATTTTATAAAGTGCAATAAAATAATTATAATATTAATATTATTTTTTGGAATTAATATTTTATTTTTTATTGTAACTTTGGGCTTTCACTAGGAAAAACGAGCCACACCATAGGAAGTGAGAATTTTGATGTAGGCCCCATATCATTTACATCGACACGCAAAATAAGCATACGATCATTTGCTTGGTAATTTACTTGGGACCTCTAGCATTATTGATATTTGAAACATAATCAATGATGGAAAGAATAAAATGGCTTGTTTGGTTCCGTATGGGATTTTTTTAAAAAACTATTGATGGAAAGACAATCAGCCGATTGGTTTGTTTGGAATTTCACGAAACCAAACTATTAATTGATTATGTTTCAAATATTCTTTCCATCACCGTAGGATCCAGGGAACCAAACTATCGATTGATTTTGTTTCAAATATTCTTTCCATCACCGTGGAATCCACCTCGGGTAGAATTTTTCCTAAATATTTGGCCTCTAATATTTTTGTTGGATTATTCCTTATTGATGGAAAGACAATCAGCCTATTGGTTGAATGTTTAAATTTTATTTTTAACTTTTTTAAAAAATTAAAATTAATTTATTTAAAATAAACCTCAAAAGACAAAAAATATATGAAAATAATGAATACTTTTTTTAAATATATTTTTTTATCAAACTAATTTTTAATTTTTAAAAACTCAACTAATAGTTTGTGGATGACAACATGTCAAATGAGTAGGAACAAATCAATGTTGGCGACGGTTTGATTTCACGGCCCGTTTGTTTTGCTCTTTTCGGGACGGATTGCTAGTGGTGAATAGCAGATTTGGATGAGGGGTTGCTGTTCTATTAATGACATAACAACAATTTTTATGTCTTAATTTGAGGCTTATTATGAGTTTATTTTTATGAATCAAACCGTCATTTTGTAGGGTTCGTTGAGTATTTTAAACATGTCAAAAATTGTTGTAATCGAATATCGATAACCATGCTATCAAATTACATTTATCATTAAAAAAAAAAAATAAACAAAGTTTTTCTTTTGAGAAATATTATAAAAAATATGCAATTCGATCACGTAGTTATCAATATCCGATAAATACAATTTTTGATATGCATGAAGTACTCAATGAACCCTACAAAATAAACAGTTCAGATTATAAAAATAAGTCCATAATAAGCCTCAAATTGAGGCACATCAGCAACCCCATACCTTTAAATTTGTATCGCATTTGTTTTGTTTATAGTGGTTCAAATTTGTAATCCATTCAGATTATAAAAGGTCTCACATGAGCGGATTGATAGTTTGGGCGAGGAGATGATATTAGAAAATAATCCGTTCAGCATAGGGTGTTATCGGACGACCGGCTAATCGTCTGACCAAGTGCATTTTTTTTACTACATTTTGGGCAGTACATTTTGAACATTAATATTTAATTTTTTATTAAGTAAAAACTATGATTTTTATTTATTTTATTATTTTATATAAAAATAATTTAATAATCTCCATACTAACAACTATTATAAAAATAAATATAATTTTACTTAATTTCCTTACTATCAATTTCTTTCATTCTTTTTGAAAACAAACAGACCTTGTAACTGTAAAATTGATTATTAAATAATAATTTATAAGGGCACAAATTTAAAAAGTGTGAGATCATACTAAAATAAAAATTTAAATATAAGTAATATTTTAATATTTAAAAAAGTATGAATTATGAACTTTACTTAAAATACGAATTAACCCTTGTAGTTTAGAAAATTAGAAAATTACAAATATCTCCCTGTCAAAATTTTTTATTTAACAGAATTAATTGAAAAAATAAAATTTCTAACTATTCACTTATACACTAATTAAATTATCTAAATTATTAAGTGAAATAAAATTTTAACATTATTAAAAACTGTTAATTAACTTGATGATTTATTAATAAAAAGACCAATTTATTATGAAATTAGAAATCTTAAAGGACATAATATAATTTCTAAAATTACATAAAATAATTTGTAATTTAAATAAACTTCAAGAATGTATTTATAATTTATAATTAAAAATTAAACTATGACATGTCAACTTTCACTTTTTATAATCCTCTTTTTTCCTTTTCTTAATTGGAATTAAAAAATTCAAACCTCCCCTATTACGCACTTAACATATATAATCTACCGTAGATTCGAAGTGTCCTCCTTAATTACTCTCTCTTTCTCATCGCTGTTTTCAACATAAAACACTTCTGAAATCACTCAAAGCATAAAACAGTTTTCCCTTTGACAAAAACCTTCCATGGGTGCTTTAGGGAAATGGCTGAAATCACTGATTGGTCTCAAGAAGATGCAATCAAGGCACCAAGTAATCCCATACTCTCAACCATCACTGACCCATTTGCTTGATTTTCTCGTTTTCTTTGTTTTTAGAAAGTGTTTTCAATTATTTATTTTTTTGGGTAGGAAAATGTTGGCAGTAGTGGTAAGGGTCGAAAGTGGAGGCTATGGAGGAGTGACAAAGGAGGTCACGTGATTGTGTCTGATTTGTCGGGTTGATGATGTGTTCAGTGCAGCTGTGGCGATTGTGGTTAGAGCTACGACCAAAGATTTCATGGTGGTCACGCAAGGGTGGGCTGAGATCAGGATCCAGACCATGTTTCGGGCTTTTTTGGTAACTCTATTTTTTTTAAAATTTTTTTGTTCTCTTTATCACTCTGTTTAGTTAATTTTTTTCATAGCTATACATGTCTTAGCTATATGTGTTTGATGGGTTTGTTTGGGATTGAGTTTTCAATTGCTGATGAATGAAATCGAATTCAATCATTTGACAAAACCCCTTTTATTCCCCCCCCCTTTTGTTCCCCCCCTAAATGTGCTGTTTGTTTCAGTCGGAAACATTTTCCTAGAGAAAATTTAGATGGCGGTGGCGACGGTGATAGTAGTGGTTATGGTGGTGATGGGTAATGGTGGTGGTGGCGTGATTGCATTAGTAAGATCTTAATCTGCCTAAATAATCTTGTTTTTCCCAGATTTGGTTTTCCGTCCCGCCAAACACTAGAAGATTCCAATTTTTTGGGAGGGAAAATTGTGAATTAGTAATGTTTTTAAATTTTTTTTACAAATTTATGAAAAATTTTATAACTTTAATTATTAAAGTTGGTATGATTTACCACTGATTTGATTTTTTTTTTTGGAAACCTGAATTGGAAAAAAAAAAAAAAAAAGGAAAGAAAGAAAAGAAACCCAAATTGTATTCTGCATCTTTCCATTTTACTCTGCTTTCACAAAATGGAAAAAATAAACAAGAAAGGGTAGTGGGATTTGCAGTGTTAAAGATTAATTATTCACTGTTGGTTTGTTAATATATGTCATTTAATAACCACCACAAAACAACTAGTATTAACTTGCATATTTTATCTGTGTTCGTTCACTTTTGATATTTTATGAATCATGATTATGTTCTGTTTTTTGAGTTTTTCTTTTCTTTGTGCAATCTATTTTTTGCGGATTCATGTTTATACAATGAATTGATGATTGAAGGCAAGACAGGCTTTGAGGTCATTGAAAGCAGTAGTGAGGGTACAAGCGATTTTCCGAGGCAGGCAGGTCAGGAAGCAAGCTGCTGTAACACTAAGGCGTATGTAAGCTCTTGTTCGAGCTCAGGCTCGTGTTAGGGCCTCTTGTGTATCTGCACAGTAAAGGACGAACAAAGCAATGACAAAGGGAAAAGCATGATTATTATGTAAATACAGGTTGAGCTCAGGTTCGTATGCAAGCTCTTGTTCCTTCCCCCACCCTATCGATTTCCCTCCTCTACTGTAGGACCACCCTCCAGCTTCGCCCTCCCTCCTCCCTCTCTCCACTTTGTCATTTCCCTTTCCTCCCTCCACCCTCGTTGCCGCAGCCCTTCCATACCCCAGTCGCTTCCCCCTTCCTCCTCCCCAGCTCTGTCGCAGCTCCCTCTCCCCTTCCCCGGCCCTGTGCATCTCCCTCTCCCCTCCCCCACCCTGTTGCTACCCCCACACCTAAATTACCAATAGTTCCTAATAGTTAAACTTAATTATCATCAAATTCTATTGAAAATAAGTCTTGGTAAAATTATCGTTAAAAATATTTTTTTTGTGACAATTTTTTATATACGTCGCTAAAAAGTGACAATTAGTGACTTTTTTTCATGATTTTTATAAATTGTCACTAAAAATTACAATTAGTGACATTTTTTTTATGACATTTTTCCCATAGGACCTATTAGATAATAAGTCCACTTATTAGGACCTATACGTAAATACCCACCCTCCCTCCCTCCTTCCTCCTCAACTCATATTGCTGTAAAAGAACAAATCAAAACCCAAATAAAAAAGAAAAGAATCAAATTCTAGCTTTGGCTGCAGAGTGCACATTGAGACTGTACAGAGAGCAAAGTGAGAAAGAAAGAATCAAAAGGGGAGAAATGCGTAAGGGGAATAAATGTAATTTTAAATATTAAATAATTCAGATTAAAATAAAAAATATCAAGTATTAGTTTTTCGGATGATTGAGACAGAAAACATCAAATTTTCAACTTTGGTGTTTTACCCCCTGGGTTGTAGTGTTACAAATCAAACCACGGGGAGTAAAGTGTTATTTACTCCAAAATTAATTTGCATCACTTGTGTCAAAATTATTGGTACTTCAAAGTTGCACTTTTATTATTTTGTAAATATTTTTAGTTAAACAGGCTGAATTTAATTTTTCTTAAATCAAAGCATGTTTTAATCTATGAAGATATAGGTGTGTGTAATAAAGCTTTTCTTCATATCTAAGAAAGAATGTCTAGAAGATTTCAAGGATATTTTAAAAAATATGTATTTTCAATGTAAATATAAATTATCATTTTTATTATATTTATTATTGTTTTTTTATGTCATGTGACACATGTTAGATTAACCAATGCGATTATATTAGGAAAAATTAGTCTAAGGTCCCCTTCCTATTTTTAGTAATGGAAGAGGTCCACAATATTATTTTTTGATGTCTAAGGTTTCTAAACCCACAACCATCTATCACAGAGAAATTTGATATATCTCACACTCTCTATCTCTCTCTCCCGTTGCTCTTCTCTCTCCTCCATTAACTACTCTCTTATTAATAATTATTATTTATTTTGGTCCAAGTTCACTCTACCTTAGCATCTTACCAACGCAACAACGAAGCTTCAGTTGAGTAGTTGCTTCGAAATCAATCCTACTTTTTTCGATTTTATTGTGAAATTGCAGCAGCATCATCAAAATCCACGCATTTTTCGTTTTTGTTTTTCTTCCTTTTCTTTTTCGCAATCTCTCTTTACCTATTTCAATGGCAATTTCGGGTGAATATGCAGCAGATTCCAAAATTTCGCCACCAAATACATTCGAATTTGTTGTAATCAGAGGCACCTTCGACCGATTACACGACGGTCACCTCATTTTCTGCAAAGTTCTCTATCTCTCTCTCTCTCTCTCTCTCTCTGTGTTTGTATATATATATATATATATATATATCTAAAAATGTATCTGATTAAGTTGGTACTTACAGAAAGCAGCAGAATTGGCTAGGATCGCATTGTGGTTGGAGTTTGTGATGGATCCATGTTGACTAAGAAACAGGTATTTGTAACATCTTTGTGCTCTATGCGAATCCATGCTTGTTGATTACTTACTGGGTGATTACTATAAATTGCTCATTGCTTTACTTCATAATTTTCTCTGGATAGACCCAGAGAAATTTGGTGTTAGTGATGTGTAAAATATTCTTTGTAATGTGTTCAGAGAAATTTAGAGTTGGAGATGTGTAAAATTTCTTTGTGATGTGTCCAGAGAAATTTGGTGTGGGTGATGTATAAAATTTTCTCTGTGATGTGTTTAGAGAAATTTGGAATTTTCTCTGTGATGTGTCCAGAGAAATTTGGAATTTTCTTTGTGATTTGTCTAGAGAAATTCTCTGTATCGAATTTTCTCTGGATCGATGTTGAATGACCTTAGACATTATGAAAATATTAAGTGTCTTTTATGTTATAAAATCTTAATACTAGAGGCTTTAAAAAAAAAATCCCTTTATATTATGTAAGCCAAGGTGAGCTCTACATTCAAATGAATTAAATTTTTGCTCTTATAAATCTATCCCCATGGATCACTCTTTTTATTATAAACCTGTCCCTATGGATCACCCTTTTTCCCATTATGATATTCTTATCCTTTACACACTCTTACACATGTTGGTTTGGGAATTATTTCTTTTTTCTTTTAAAAAAAAAAATCTAAAAAAATTGGCTACAAAATTTTCTTTTTCTTCTTCTTTTTTTTGGTGGGTTAATGAGAAAACTGAGTAGGTTTTTAACTTTCTGTTAAACCAAAAATAAATATATATTTTTTTAAGCTAAGAGTTACTTATTTTAGAAATAGCCTATTAAGACAGAAACACACCCAATTTTCCTCAATTTTCTACACAAATTCCTCTATGTATTTACATTCGCTCTCTATATCTACAATCATTAATTTGGTGAACAAAGTTGAGTTAAAATGTGGCCCATATGTATTGTATTGAACATGAATAATTCAAGCGCTTATTACAAAAGCAATGTTATTAAAAAAAAAGAAAAAAAAAAAGAAAAAAGTGACCCTATCATTTTTAGTTATGGAAGTGGAAGGGAAAATTTTTGGCACCGTTTGGTGGAGCTTTCAAAATATAATTCCACACTCACTTTTGAGTGTGGTGTTTGTTTCACATTTTCAAAAATTAATTCCACTCACTTTTGAAAACTCTTTTCAAGGCGGAAAAATTTGGACTAATCGGTCTTCCGGCCGGTTGACTGGAACAGTGTTCGATTTTTTATTTTTTATTTTATTTTTTTGCACTTGTTATTTTTATATTACAAAAAAAAAAAATATTTGTGAATTTTTTTTAAATTTTTTTTATGAGCTTTGAATAGAATTTTGAGTTGTGTGTTTCGTTATGAGTTGTAAGTTTTTGTATCAAATATCATATGTCACATCACTCAATTCAAACTCAATTTAAAACTCTTTTCAAAACTCATAACCAAACAAATTTTTCACACTCAAATCATAATTCCAAAACTCACAAACTCAAAATACAACTCTATTTTCAAATCATAATTCTAAAACTCTATCAAATATTACCTTTGACTTTATTAAGGAGAAGGTCAGGGGTTTAAGTTGATAAAACAACGGTGACTGCTTTAGTTATAATATGATTTTACTAACAAATTAATATTCTACCCTTTTGTCACGACCCAACCCCCGCTCCAAGGGGCTAGTGAAGTGACCGGCCAATAATCTTAAGATTACCAAAGACCTTCTTGAGCAGACTCATAAATATAGGAGCTAGCAGAAGTAGATGAACAAAATAAATCATCCAATGAGTTGTGCAGATTTATATGAGATAGGAAAATTTACATATTTATATACATATTGTGGCATCATTATTACCCCATAAACACATTATAGTCAAATCAAAAAGGGATTAAACTCTATATACAAAAACTTGTCTTAATATTCAAATATCTTAATTAACAAATGAAAACAAGGACTTAATCCTTGAACACAAAAGCCCTTGACACATGGCACTTCCAGAACCTCTACGTAAGGCACAAGGGTTGACTTGCAAAAACAGACTCCGAACAGAAGGCTCCAAGCTTGGTCATGCGATTGATCACCTACATACATAAATATAGATAGTGAGTTGGAGCCCACTGAATAACAACGACGTTAAGGGCTAATGAATGATGTCTATTACAGTAAATAAAACGGTTAAACAAATAACAGTGGAATCAATTCTAGAATCAGAATTTGTACCATATCAGAATCATACTCGTACTAATAAACAGTCATACGTGGTACATCCATTAACAAAACAGTAGAGTTGGTCATATAGACCAAAGTAGTCATATTTGATGGCCATCAATACAATTAACCTTAAAGGTTAGACAGTAGTTCCAAGAAATAGAACTAATAGAGATCTCTATAATAGATAGCAGATAACAGATTGCAGATAAGAGATACAGATGCTAAGGATGCCACGATTATATTTCAGAAAATGAATAATCATTCATTCATTCATAAAACATCAGTTCAGAAACAAATATAGCTTGTAATTCAGAAAATACTTTATATCAAACATAGCTTTACAGAATTATTACTCACAGATGGCTCCTCATATAGATCAGATTGACTGTAACGTGTGACCTAGACAAACACATAACAAATTTACATTGAAACACGCATTCCCAAATAATATTTATTTAATTCAATCCTCTTTAGTGTGTTTCTAACTCATTTCCTCATTATTGTTGTCTAAATAATGGCTTAAGAATACCTATAATGGAATGATGATGAAATTATGCACTTAGGAATGCATTACAAAAATACTGAAAGCAGAGCAGTTCGCTCGAGTGTTAGAAATGCATTATAAAAATGCTGAAAATAGAGCAGTTCGCTCGAGTGCACCCTTGGTTGCTCGAGCGGTCTGCAAAGTCTGCATAACTTCTAGATGTTGAAAATCTAGGCTCGAGCCAATTTCTTGGTTGCTCGAGCCATGAGCTGTGCAAAGGTGAGTTCGCTCGAGTGCACATTTGGTCCCTTGAGCCAACTGCATTCGTCTACAAAAATACTGAGAGCTCTGAAAGTGCGCTCCAGCGAAGGTTTGATTGCTTGAGCGGTGCGACCAAATTTTGGAATTTCTAGAATTAACTTTTAAGTTCAAAACACAAATCCCAAACCTTCAACTTGCATGGTTGAGTCATAACCTTGAAAAACTCGTAGAACTTCATCCAAAACATGAATACAAAGCCAAAAGTGCAAAATCAAAGCTCAAAATCTTGGTAATTCCTCAAAAGCAAATTTAAAACTTCATTTCTCAACCATGCATATAACAAGGTAGATTCTTTTCCTTTAAATCATGAACATATGAGGTGTTGAGTGGAGAATTATGTAAAATCCTTTAGGATAACAAGTAAAACCCTCATGCATGTGTGAATTCTTTGAAAATCAAGCTTGAAAATGATGAATTGTACATGCATGTTCCAATTCAACCCATATTGACTACATTCATGGTGATCCTAACTCATTCTTCTCAATCCATGCCAAAGGCCTCATAACTTCATGAATTTAACTTTTACATTGTGAATTCTACAAAAATTTAGAGTGATGATCTTACCTAGAGCTTGGATTTAGAGTTTATTAGCTAGATCTTCTCAAATCTCCTCCAATTCCTTGACAATTCTTCATTTCCTCTACTCTCACTACAAGAAATTCGCTACAAACGCCGCGAAAACTCTGAAAAACGCCATAATAGCTTATAGCAGCGTATAATATTTTCGTTGCTGATACGGCCGCCACAATAGCTTTCTGACGTTTTAAAAACGTCGCTAAAAATATTACATGGCGTTTTTTAAAACGCCGCAAAATCTTTGACGCCCGTCTCTCCTTCCGTCCCAAATTAACGTGTGATGTCCCAAATTAACGTGTGATGTCACAATGACATCATTTAGTGGCGTTTTTCAAAAAACGCCACTTTTTTTTTTTTAATTTTTATTTGTTTGTCCTGCTCCTGCTGCAAGAAGCTAACGTGTGACGTCACAATGACGTCATTTAGTGGCGATTTTTGGAAAAACGCCTTTTTTTTTTTGGTTTTGTTTTGTGGCTGCTGATGCAAGAACATGAAATCAAATACCATTTTTTATTTTCTCTGTGCTGCTGCTGCTGGAAACTGTATTCACACTTTGTAATCTCATGTTTTATGTTTGCTCTATGCAACCAAACTGCTAGATTTATAAGCAACTAGGACATCAAATTTTCCATTTCTTTGCCTTTTTTTCTGGTCATCTACTGTGACCAACCAGTTCAGAAAGTTGGGCTAAAATCCAACCGGTGAAATTTGTGCTTAAGTAATGTATAAAGCTAGTGATCATGTGCCTCTTGGCACTTCCTCAATTAAATTATCAATACAAACATCTAGTAGGCAAACAAAAAAAAAAAAAAAAAAAAAAAAAAAAAAGTCAAATCCACTGTCCAATCCAGTAGGCAATCAAATTTCGAACATCAAAAAAATAAAAACACACCAAATATTGTGAAATCAAATTTAATTGAAATTTGATTAATAATTTAATTGAAGAAGTTCCCAGAATCATGTGAAATCAATACAAACATCAAATTTGGTCATATGTACAAAAAGAAGAAAAAAACAAGTAGGCAAGTCAATATCCAAACATCTAGTAGTTATGCCACATCTAGTAGTTATGCCTAAGTCATCGGGTATAGGCAGTAATTGATAGGAAAAGTTCAGTCCCAAGTTTTAGTTCTCATCACAAACCTTTTAATTTCATCAGTCAAAGCAGGAAGAGGAGAAAATAAACAAGCAGGTTCCACATTTCCTTGTATGCTAATTCCACTTCTCAAACGTTTCCTTCCATCTGCCATATCCACTGTCCAATCCAGCCCAATCACATCAACCCCAGTTCCTTTCATCTGCTCAAGAAAGCCACCATTCCCATTAATGTATAGAACAAGTGGAGTTCCAGGACAGTGTCCTTACTAGACTCACAATCTGCAATTCCAACAATCCCGTAAGGCGATTGAGAAGGAAAGAGAAGAAAATGATAAAAACAATAAGAGTACAGGGCAGCATTTTATTGAAATAGAAAATAATGAGTTTGTGTTTGTAGATTACAGAATCTAGGCAACAATTTTAAATCACTGAGAAAAAACAAAATCCATTTAATGTCCATGGACTTACCACCTTCTAAATCTCTCCTTTTAATTTCTTGACCCTCACAAATTAGCATTTTCTAATGCATTTCTTAATAATTGGTGACTTTGTGACTATTGCATAGACACAGCGGCAACAACATACACACAGCAGCATACACACACCAGCAACTTTAACTATTAAGTACTCAAGCCCAAATATATACTATCAATATTAAGTACACATCAACAACTTTAAATATATACTATCAATGTATCATATTAATTTTGAAAACACTGTTCCAGAACTGATCTCATTAGGGTTGTCATTGATGATGAAATTAAGGCTGCAGGATGGGTATAATGCAAGGTTTTACCAAGCTAATTGGCATATTGTGGGGTCTGATGTAGAGACTGCTGTGAAGACATATTAAGAAAGATATTAGGTATGCTTCATTTAGTTTGTTCTTGTACTCACAAGTAATATTAGGTATGCTTCATTTAGTTTGATCTTATTCCATGATTGTAGTTGATAGCACATTACAATGGCAAGTACTAGATATTAGGTATGCTTCATTTAGTTTGTTCTTGTACTCACAAGTAAGCAACAAGTTCTCACTACTACATGAACACCCACACATACCAATATATCTTAGTAGTGTTCTATTTCATTTCTATAACACCATTTTTGTGTAGACGAGGGTAGATTTCTAATTACCTAACAAAAAATTATGATAAACATTAGAAATTCAAAATCATAATGTTACACATGCTTGGCATCAATCAATAGTGTTGAATACTGTTATGTTGTCCTATTGTGATCTATTATAAATTGTATATGCACAAACATAAGAAAATATCACAATTACTGTTAATCAGCTTTCAAAATCTTAAACCACACCATTTGTTATTCTCTTATTTGATTTTCTGGTGAGCGATTTTTCACACAAGGCCTCTAGATTCAAAATTGCATCTGTATTTGGTTCCTTGGGCCAAATTTATATGTGTTTCATTGACTTCTTGTAGCTGCTCTTAAGTAGTTAATTATTCAAGAAGGATAAGGATTCTGAGTTGAAACATGAAATGCTTCCACGGTTTTCATTTACCTGAGTTATGCAGCTTTAGAATTGCATTGAGTTATCTAAATAGGTCCCACCACTCATAAGGAGGAAGTATGGGTGCTAAAGATCAATGATTAAGGAAAAAGGAGAAAATTCAAATCTTTTGCCTTTTCTCTAATATATGGTACTATTGCTTCTTATCTAAAATCTTTCGCTCAAGGGTCATTATATGTATCAAAAAATAGAACTATTCCTTATGACCTTTCACACTCCATGGTGCCTACAAAATTCAAAAGAACCTCTAGCAAGGGTCAGCTCTCTCCAACTCTTTAAGTTTATTCTCCAACTCTTTAAGTTTATTATGATCATGGAAAAATACTCTTCATATGGTATAATGATCTCTTAAAGTCCCCAACGCTATTTGGTGGGGTGGCATAGTATATGGTGTGGTAGATAGATATAATAGTTTGGGAAATATGCTGGTTTTGGGCAGAGGATATGAATGGATGCTCACGTGGACTTGCTATTTTGTTTATTTGTTTAACTTACCATTAATTGTAATGGTGTCTCACCATTCACAACCATTAAAATGCTGGTAAATGCATATTTGATAGAGGCTCGACAATTTACATATTTTTATGTGAAAATTTTCATTTCCTCTCTTGCTACTAATGAAAACATCAAGGGTAGTTGATTCCTAATTGCATGTGTTCCTTTTGGAGTGCTTTAGGAAATGGCATCTAATATATTGGTTTTGTTTTTAGGTTGGATGACTTGGACTCTAGATTATCTTCTCCTCCTGCTTCAGTTGGAATGAACAAATGTGGATTTGGCATCGAGGATTTAACACGCAAAAGGCATTGAGAATGAGAAAAGGATTTGAGGGACTTAAGTCCATTGGTCGATCACTTAAATTTGGGGTTTCTTGAGCAGTGTTTCTAGAAGATCTTAAAGTGCCAGAGAAGAAGATATTTGATCCTCAAGATCAATTTCAATTTTCCTAAAGGAACCAAGTTAAGTAGAGTTGAGTATACTTAGTTTCCTAAAGGAACCTCAAATTCAATTTTCAGACATTTTAATCAATTATCCAATTTGACTTTCTAAGTAGCTTCCTAAGCTTCAAGCTAAATTAGTACTTCAATGTACTTCTAACAGCCACTTCTAAAGCATCCAAATAAACATATATAGCAACAATATATATATATCAATTGATCAGAAACAACAGAAACCACTCATGATCTGGTTGTTTTGAACTTATGTAGAGAAAATTGGATAAAAATATTTAACATTGAACTATTCTGAGATGGCAAGCGACTATATGAAATTAATAAGTTTTCTATCCATAGTCAGGGCATTATAATTTTCATTTTATAGCAATCTTCAGAAGCAATTTCAGGTCACAAAATACCTGAAGATTTAAGTTAAGAGTGTCGAGTACAGGGTTCACAATTCAGGTTCGGATCAAATCCAAACGCCTCATCCCATCATCTTAGTCTAAACAATACCAGAGGTATCTCAATTCTCTTAATGAGGCACAAATATGCTACATCAAGACAATGAAAATGGGAATTAGAGTCAACATTTGAAGGAGAACTCGAGCATAAAGGTTAATCACTAATCTGAGGCATACCGAAAGGCCATAGACTAAACAAGGGACCCAACTTGATACAGTGAGCTTGTCAAGTACAAAGCAAGAGAAACAACATGTTTAACAAAATTATCAAGTTTAAATGCATGGAGCCATCTTCATACAATCATTGACCAGAGATATGTGTTGTAAAATGAATCAAAGCAGTTGACCTCAGCTCATGTTTATCCATCGGAGATATGTGTTATAGAGATGCAAGATATGAGTATGAATGTATACACTCTTCAATCAAAAAAAAAAAAAACAAAAAGAAACAACTAAATGAATTGAAACTCACAAAATCGAGAACCAAACTTCAAAATCTGCAATCCAAGTGGTGGTCTTCAAATCATCGCTTGATCTGAAATCGAGCGAGAGAGAGAGAGAGTTTTCGAAATCAAGATAGAGAGCGTGTTTGAAATCAAACGAGAGAGTAGACTGAGAATTTTAATCGCTCAGATTCAAATCTCCAAATCTTCGACAATCAACAGCAAATCGCAAATCTAGAGTGAGAGATAGAGAGAAGTCGCAAATCGCAAATAAATTTTGCTCATAATGAATTTGAGTACTACAGCACTATCGCAAATCGCAAATAACAAATAAATTTTGCTCAGAATGAATTTGAGCTCAATAGAGAGAGAGAGAGAGAGAGAGAGAGAGAGAGAGAGAGAGAGAGAGAGAGAGAAATCGCAGCTTTAGGGCTTTAGGATGTGGGTAACGGTGTCAGCCAACTAACAAGCGGAGATGATGCTTAAAAGAAATCTAATACAACGTTTTAAAAACGTTGTTTTAATTGAAAAATAGCGGCATTTTTATAAACGTCGAAAGCAGAACGTTGCTATATCCCCTTTTTCCCGTAGTGTCTAGATGATTATCTCTCTCAAAGTGCAGTCTATCTCTTTCTTTAAGGCTCTCTAGATAGGTTTTGAGCTCAACAAAATGAGCTAAACTCATTACATCACATTGATATAGTTTTAATTAACTTAAGCTAATTAATTTATTCTAATTATTTAGATCCGAATCAAAAATCTAATTAAACTTGTCATAAAATCCTAAAATTTCCAAATCACTTATTGACCTAGTCAATTTTGTGCTCTAACGCCATTAAGGCCTTCAATTTCCATAACAAAGCAGAATTCTCAACAAATAATCCTATAACTAACAGATATAGTTTCAAATATCACATAAATCACACAATAAACACACAATTTCATCTTAAACACTTAATTAACATTCTTAATTACTGATTAATAGCAAATTACGAAATGTGGTTATTACACCTTTAGTTATAATTTAATTTTACTAAAAAACTAATATCCTACAATCTTGAAAAAAAGAAGAAGATTTGGTTATGATAATTTAACCCAAAATTGGATATTCCAATGTTAAAATCAATCCTATTAGAGAGGAGAAATTACTAATCAATGGGAGGTGGGGGAAAAAAATAACAAAAACATGAGAATCTTTTGGTGGTGTAACTTGCTGTGTTTTCTTTACACACAAAAAAGTTGCACTTCCATTATTAGGTAAATATTTTAAGTTAAATAGGCTGAATTTAATTTTTCTTAAATCAAAGCATGTTTTAATCTATGAAGGTATAGGTGTGTTTAGGGTTTGTTTGGCATTGGCTTTTTTAGTCAAATTTTTTTGTGTTGAGACTTTTTTAGCCTGACTTTTTTAGTCTCGTTTGATTTTTATTTTGGGCTTTTTTGATTTTTATGAGAGAAAAAAATGTAATGGTTATGGGTAAAAAATAATATTTTGTCTTATTGACTTTTACAGTCAATTTTGTCTTTTTATACTTATTTAGCTCCAATACAAATGCTAAACCAGGGCTTAATAAAGCTTTTCTTCTATCTAAAATAGAGTGTCTAGAAGCTTCCAAAGATATTTTTAAAAATATTTCTTTTCAATGTAAATAAATTATTATTTTTATCATATTCATCATTTTTTTTAATGTTATGTGACACATGTTGGATTAATTAGTGTGTCTAGAAGCTTCAATGAATATTTTTTAAAATATTTCTTTTCAATGTAAATAAATTATTATTTTTATTATGTTCATCATTTTTTTTAATGTCACGTGACACATGTTAAATTAACCAGAGTGTCTAGAAACTTTTAAGAATATTTTTAAAAATATTTCTTTTCAATGTAAATAAATTATTATTTTTATTATATTCATCATTTTTTTTTAATATCATGTGATGTGACACATTAGATTAACCAATGTGATTATATTATGTAAATCGAGGTGAGCTTTACATCCAAATGAGTTAAATTTTAGCTCCGTTTAGAAGGTTATTTAATTCTCATTTTAAAATTTTGCTAAACGTGATACATTCCTAAAAGACTAAAAATATTATAAAAAATGAAAAGGAAAAAGAAAAAGAAAGAGAAGAGATGAATTTGTTAACAAATATTATAATATAAGGTGAGTAAACAAAAGGATTAATTAGTAAAAAGTTCATTTTTATTGGGTTATATGTTATTTGGTTTAAGATTTAATCTTTTTTTAGTAGTAAAAATATGTATCGAAAATTCACTGATGCTGAAAAAATCATAGAAAAATTGGCTAGAAAAGTCGTTTGAAAGTCACTGATGATTGATGGTGGTGGTAGTGGTCGGCGGCGGCTGGTAATAATGAGGTGGATAGATTGATTATATTAAATAAATATATAAATAGATACAGATCGTTGACATTTAAACAAATAGTTGAAAAAATATGAGATATATATATATATATATATATATAAATATATGACATTTGAATAGATAAATAGATAGGTAGATTTTGAAAAGATAGATATCTCTTTTGGACAAATAATATATTTTTAACCAAAAATAACTAAGATTAAGCCAATATAGAAGTTCTAGCTGAGTGTCTTAAACAAAAACGCTTCTCTAACCGCTTGCTGAAACGTCTTGCTGAAATGTCGCAACGGTTTTTCAGTTACACACGTCTAACCGTTTCAAGAATAATCCCGATTTTCATTTTGTGCCACGTGGTCAAATGAAAATTAACTTCTTTCATTGCCCATTTTCCATATAAAGCATAAACTTTTCCTTCACTCTCTCATGGACTTCTGTCCAGAAACGCTAATAAATTTTCCACCAAGAAATCCTAAATTTTCGATCCCAACTCTCTGCACAAGTCCACCGACGAATCACCATTAAGTCCTTCGAAGAATCTCTTTGTCTTCTTCTCAAAATCAGGTTGATTTAAACCTCATTTTTTTACACTTCTAACAGTGATTTGTTTTAATTTTAATCTTCGTTTGAATCACTTCACTTTTCTCGTTTTCTTGCACGTTTCTACATAATTAGTTGATTTTTAGTGCTAATTTCAGCTTTTTCTTACTTTCTCATCCATGTTTTTTTTCGTTAGTATTTTCTTGTCTGCCAAACAGTTAATTTCTTGTGTTTATTGTTGATTGGAGGTCTATCTGATGGGTTATGAGCCATTTTTAGTCAGGTTGGAACTGGATATTGTTAAATTTGAACCACTTTACATTTGTCGTTTTCTTTCGTGTTTCTACTTGGTTTACCTGATTTTTAGCGTTAGTTTAAGCTTTCTTTACTTTCTCAGCTTCCAAACATTGATTGGTGGTCTATTTAATGGGTTATGAGTCATTTCAAGTTAGGTTGGATCTGGATATTGTTAAATTTGCGTCTTCGTTTACTTAGGATGCATCAATACTGGGCATGAATTGTCTCGGTTCTCTTTGCCATTGTTGTTTTCACATAAATCACTTGTTTCTCAGCACCATTTTCCTCTTTTATTTTATTTTTTTAAAAAATATATACATTTCCTTTTTCATTTTAAAAAATAATAATTTATGCACGTTTTTTAGCCACCAAAACGTAGGCCATAATATGAATCAAGCTACTCTGAGCTCGACTCGTATTCGGTTTGGAATATCTGGAATATTTTAAAACTCATTAAGTTTTTAAGTTGAGCTTGAATTACTCATCAAGTACTGTCACGGACACAAATCAATTTGTGTTGATTGGTGTCCTTTCTAATCAGTTTGTGTTCTCTTGACCAGAACTGCAACTTCTAACATATTAGGTGTTCTAAATTTATCGTTGGTTACATTTCAACTCTAATTTGTTTAGTTTCACAGCTTCTCATACCTTTAATGTATAGATACATCTCATGAATTTTGTCTATTTTCTCTTTCCCGTTTATTTCTGTCCATATTCATTAGCTTGTCTGCACTGATTTCCATTTGTTGTATTTTTTTCCGTCACATATTCTTCTATTTGCTGCATTTTTTCTTGACGACAGCAAAGAGCCAGTTTGCTTGCTAGTTATTGAAGAGGATGGGTTCCTTATCCAATGGTGATCTATTTGATGGGAGTTCTAAGAAGAGGTCATTGTACAATGGTTATTGCACCTCTTCTGGTGTTTCACTTAAGTACAAGAAGCGAAAAGTTTATGCTGTTCGTGATTTTCCACCTGGGTGTGGACATAATGTTTCATTTATCAATCTGATGCCCCAGGATACTGAGGTAGTAGCATCACTAGGTGATAAAGAGAATTTGGTGGCTGATGAAAAGATGGTGAAAGTTGCAGAGGGTGATTGTGTCAAAGCTTCTGAAATTGGGAATGAATCATCATCTCATCAATTGGTGGAAAGTTCGGTGAAGTTGGAATTGCCCGACATATTGAATGTAGTGGTTGCGGCTGGGAAAGTCAATGGGGCTGAATTGTCCCCTGTTGTTGTGCCTCTAGGAAGTGGCTTGCCAAAAGCTTTAGAAAATAATGCACTAGAATAAAATCACACCCGTATAGCTGTATCTGATAGCGGGTCGGGATAGTTTGTCATGGTATAAAAACATATGGATGAAAATTATCATAGTCACAACTTGAATAAGATTAAAAAAAATTATGAAATGAGTAAAATTTTAAATTATGGAATCTTCATCTATCTCATTGATTATCTTCCAATCTCCTAAAATTATGAATTAATAGTGGATTGACCATAGGTTGCTCATTGTTGACTATTGCACGTGCAAACTTCCACGCTTCTTATTACTATTTTGCATTTATTTGTTTAATTCTTGATCTTGTTGGCCAATTTGCCTCTTTGAGAAAATGAATGATTTTTTTTTTTTAATCATTGGTGGCTTTATCATTGTAGTACATTAAGACGGTGGAGAAAAGGTCAACCCATTGAGTCTTGGGAGGCTCATAAGGCAGCCATTCAAGCTGTTATAAAGTTAGTTTCAGGCGAGCTTGTTACAGGTATAGTTAATTCAAATACTATGAGGCACGGCAATTTGGTGGTGTGACTGTGAAAGCATATTCCTCTTCTTCTCATATGCTCTTTCTTCTTATCTAGCCTTCAAGTTCCTAATTTTCTTTCTTAATCATTATCTCAACCATCAAATTGCTTTAGGTATAATTCGATTTTATTGACTGTGTTTTATGGTAATTTAGGTTCAAGTGACACAACTCTAAAGCTTTGGAAAGGAAGGACATGTGTGCATACTTTTGTTGGGCATACAGGTTTACTTTTGCCCCTCCTCTTTCTACATGACTATTGCTTTTTGATAATTTTGACACATTTTAATTTTTGATTTATCTTGCATTCTTATCTTTACCTTAGTAATTGTAGTGATTAGATGAGAAATCATTTTCATAATATTCAAGCTTCCTATAAAATGGAAGTGGCAAAATATTTTCAAAATGAATATTGTCTCTAAGTTCAATTACTACCACAAGTTTGAATATGATGTTACTTATTTTATTTTATTTTATTTTTTTTGGGGTTCTTAAACCTGAGTTTTTATCTCTTATTTTACTTTGGTTTATTTGTGTTGTTTTAGATGGATCATACTTATAGATTTTATTTGTTACGAAACGAGATCTTTATTATTAATACCACAAAGGTGGAGGAGACCTTTAATTATTAGGAAATCAAGGCTTGTAGCAACATAAACATTAGCTACGTGGAGATGTGCATAATGGTGGTGGTGGATGTTGAGTATAGAGGTGTGTAGAGCATGAAACATGCCATCCAAATGTGGGTTACGTGCCAAGTTGGAGCTTGGTCCATTGGGCATCTCTCTCCCTCTCTTAGACTAATTAAGGTGCAATCTTGTGGAAAGATTTGCCCTTCGGCTAAACCTTGGTTCTAGCCACCAAGTTAGAGAACCATAAGGCTTCGAGCAGGTTGTGACATGGCCTTGTGCTATGTTACATGGACCTGTGCTATGTTACATGGACTTGTGTATGATTATCGGCTGCAGTGCTTAAGTGTCAGACTTCCTAAACCCAAATCTTAGAATGTTGGGATATGTATCCAAAAATTGAGCATGAGTATGGGGACACATCTTACATATTTATGTATGTTACATATTATATAATTTTCGTAGATAAAATGTTATAAATTATTTACAAATGTACTTCAAATTAAATAGGAAAAATATGGAATTTATAACATTTTATATCTCTCATGCATTTTATTTGTATCTCTCATATGTGTGAGAAGTTAGAAATGTTTCTTTACTAGCAAATGTGAATGTCTTCTTCTTCTTCAAACCAAACTAAACCAAGCCTGAAGTCCCATAAAATGGGGTCGGCTGCATGAATCTTTCTTCTCCACTCGACTCTATAAAATTAGAAATGTTTCGTGTATCTTTAGAAATGTGCTACATCATCTACTATTCCTTTGCCTTGGCCTGCATCTGGTATTGCATAATATGCAGGTGTCTATCTTATTTTGCTTTTTTGAAGTAATATATGATCTTTTAATGAATAGCCATGTGCTTTTGACAACTGTGCAGACACTGTTAGAAGCTTGGCTGTGATGCCTGATTTGGGAATTCTCTCAGCATCTCATGATGGGTAAATATGTTGTTCCATTTCTTTTGGTGGTCTATACAATTCATTGCTTGCTTTCTGTGTGGGGTATGCTTTTGATGTGAGTTTGCATCAAGTGCCAGTCTTAGTGGGTTTAATTGCCGATGTAAAAATTAATTTCATAAAAAGTATATCATTATCATTTACTGAACTTGGTGGTGGTGGACTCTATGACTATCAGTTTGTGTTAAATGATGACCATTACAAGTAAACAAGGGGAATGGAAGTTCAAAGAAAATTAGGCGATGAAATGGGCTTTCACAGTGAATTTGAATCCATTGAAGGGCTGCTCTATTGCAGGATGTCAAGCTATGATCTTCTTACTACATCTTAATAGTTTTTGGTGGCTATTTATGTGAAGTGACCTTTAGTTGTTCCCTGTGCTCTACATTTCATTTGTTTGGAGGGAGGTTGACCTCTGACACTTTACCTTCCTTTTGGAATTTGTCAAGCATCAATGTATGATAATCTACTGATCAATGATCTGGATTTAATTTTTCTTGAAACAGGCGGATACGAAGGAATGTACTTATGCTTCCTATGGAAATTATGCATTAGAATTTTTACTGTAAATCTGCCTTATAATGTAAATTTTAATAGCCAATGCTTAGCTTTAGGATGACTTGCAACTAACTTCTTGACTGTTGAGTGGATGATTAATGATTTATTTTTTTATGCTTGCGTGATCGTAAGATAGGAACTAGTTACACAGGGTCTTTTATGGTGATTTAACTACTGCTTCCCCGTCATGGTGTTCTAATCAATTCTGATATCATAAAACATAAGCATGTTCAATTTTGCATGCTTTTTCGTTTATAGACTTGAGTAATTTGTACACTTTGCAATGCTCTTCCCCTATTCCTTGATTTAGTGTTCAGTGTTATTTTTACTTGGTTTTCACGTTCCAACTTATCTTTAATTTTGGGGTTTGGTTTTATTTTGACAGTTCCATCAGGTTATGGGCACTTACTGGTCAAGTTTTAATGGAGATGGTTGGTCACACTTCTATTGTCTATTCTGTCGATTCACATGTTTCTGGGCTTGTTGTCAGTGGCAGTGAGGATCGTTTTGTGAAGATATGGAAAGGTTTTTCTCTTTGGGATTTATATATGCTTTATCAAAATTCTTCTAGTTCTACTTGGAAAGTCTGTGTGCCTCATATTGCTATTTGCAGTTCTTGTTTGGTTGGTAATTTATTTTCCCTTGGCAAGTGTTTGTTCGGTATGTAAAATAGCTGAAATTTTCAACTAATGTTTTGCTTTTTAATTAGCATGCAGACCTAATTTTTGGTGGGTGCAGGCTTACTGTGGTTCATTAACATTTTGGGAGGTTCTTTTAACTTGGCTTGGTTTCCTGTTCCCCATAAACACCAATACTATATCAATCTGTAATATGTATTTTGACTTTGAGAAACCTGCACTGCTCGTCACAGTCATCATCAATTCAGCTTTGCTATCTAAAATTGATTGTTCATGATTATTGGCTTGGATTTGATATATTTTAAAAGGCTTCTAGGATAGAAGAAATTTTGTTCAAGAGAAATGATGTCTGAGAATTTATGCATGGAGATGTTTCTATATATGAGGGGTAATAGTGGCATTGTTTATTGTCAATTAATTAGCATTAAACCAGTGGTAGTACTAGGAAACTGTATTACTGTCATTTCAAGTTAGTATGTAGTGATAAACCTCTCTCGTTTTCTATCTTCCTCGGTTGCTAGGGTTTCAGACTTCACCTTCAGAGACATTGTACTTTTTGATTGGGTTTATTTGTTTGACATATCGATCAAGTTAGGATGAAGTGATGAACGAATTATATTTGTGTATAACAATGGCACTATTACTATTGTTATTTAATCATGAGTAATATTAGGCAATTGCATTTCACCTATTGAGTTGATGTTAATGGCCAAGTGGAAAGTGAGAAGGTGAAAGAGTTACATTCCCATTTTGGCATTGGCATTATTCTTAAACTCTCAAGCGAGGTGGAAAACAAAAAGAGGAGTAATGTGAAAATTATGATCCTTTTATCTTATTAGGTAATGCACTATTATTATTTTCTATTACTAAAACAGTGAAAATTAGGAACATATTTTCACTATGCAACAAAATTGTCACTACTAGTCAGTCTACACTGTCCTGAAATTTTTGTCCACTTTTGCTTGGGTGATTTTAAAAGGTCAGAATGCTTTTGTGGAAAGAAGGCATATTCTAGAGGCTGTGTTAGTGGCCAATTAGGTGGTGGACTTGAGACTGAAAGTCGGAGAGTGGGGCTTTTCTTATGAGTTGGACATAGAAAAATCTTATGATCACATTTGCTGGGACTTTCTTTGTCCTGCAGTGCAGGAGATGGGCAATGGCTGATGGAAAAGTTGGACGTGATCTTGTGTCTTCTGTCAACTTTTCTATTTTAGAGAATGGAGTTCCAAAAGGTCCTTTTGCGTGCTCTAAGGCCTTGTGACTAGGGAATCCCCTCTTTCCTTTCCTTTGTATTATAGGGATGGAGGTTTTTAGCCATATGACAGCAAGGATGCTTGGAGAAGGTTTATAAATGAATTCATAGTTCAGAATAGGGGTGGCCTATCGATTCATGTGTCTATTTTTTTCGCTGCTGATGCTATTATTTATTGTGAAGTGACAAGGAGTACTAAAAAATTCTAATTTATTTGACTTATCACAAGCTTTTTGCGTGACATACCTAATTTTTTTAGTTTTTTGTTGGACACAAATGCAACTTCTTATTTGGCATATTTTATAAACTTGAAGAGAATTGACAAATATAAACTTCTTTAGATTTGCCAGTTTCATGAAGAAGTAACATCTACGTGCATAAGTAGGTACCAAGGGCATGTGGTGTGCAGACTAGTGTATCTATATGTATATATTAATATATGTAATAGATGTGTGTGTATGTGGGCATGAGATTACTACAATTAGGAATTAGCCTGAGGGTAAATGAAATTAGGCTTAAGGTTATAATTGGAGTTTAAAGTACACAGGGCATAGCAGGTGTTGTAGCAAGTGAAGGGTTAAAGGTAGACTGACCACATAACATATGTGTGTGTGTGTGTAGAATGAGCTCATGTTATAATTGTAAAGAAGTCAAAAGATGATGACATAATGGCGGGCAAATTTGAGGTAGCTGTTATATAGTTATTCCTTCAAAAGGTTCGGATAGAATGAAAAGCAATTTTTTGGTGAAGAATAAGACTCATAAGGAGGTAGCAGTTCCCTCATTTTTGTATTATAGTTGTACACTTCTTCTGCAGTAGATGGAGTACCTGAAACTATGTTTTTTATTATTATATTGATCGCTGGTTACGAGAATTAAGTTTATAACCACAAATTTATTTGAAGTGAGCAGCTCCTTTCATCTTTTAATATAGTAATACTTCGAAAACGAAAACTGTGTTTGAAATAATCACTGGTTACTAGTGTTAGTGTTATGTTTTTCTTTTCTCATTTTAAATCTTCAGATTTATTAATTGAATGTTGTTTTTTTACCTGAGAAATGGTTTTGTGTTGCAGATGGAGTTTGTGTCCAAAGTATAGAGCATCCTGGTTGTGTTTGGGATGTCAAATTCTTGGAGAATGGTGATATTGTGACTGCATGTTCTGATGGTGTTGTGCGTATTTGGACAATACATCAGGATAAGATTGCTAACTCGTCCGAGCTTGAATCCTTTGCTTCTCAACTTTCTTATTACAAGTGTAGCAGGTAGAACATTGATCAATTGCTTATATAAAGAGCGTCAAACTAATTATCTGTTGTAACATAGGCTCTATGCATGTTGCCATTAAACACTTATTGAAAACTAAATCATCATCCTTGGGTAGTAGTTACCTTATATTTCGGGTTATCTTTATTTTTTCTTTCTTTCAAATTCATTTTTTTAATACCTGGATGTTCATTGTGTTATGGTTTTTGAGTTACTCTATAGTCTGAGTGATGTGGTATATAGCGTTTTTATTGCTAGTAAACCACGAAAACAGTTCGATGGCAGGGCCTCTATAACTTGTAAGCTTTGACTAATATATGTGTTGTATCCTGTTGTTTGTACTAGGAAGAGGGTTGGAGGATTGAAATTGGAAGAATTACCAGGGCTAGAGGCTTTGCAGGTTCCAGGTTCGATCCTACTTATGTGCATAGCAAGAAACATTTCATTAATTTTATAACAGTTCTGTTGTCTAAGAACATTCTGATGTTTGATAGATGATGCCACAGTAGTTGGGTGGACATATATTTTGTGTGGAGGAAGACTAGTTTCTTTGATTTGAACTGTATTTGTAAATTTTGTATCAAATTTGCGTTGTATTTATATTGATTTGTTATTACTCGTATGTCAATAGAAAACAGTTGATGAAACACAGAACATATAATTTGACAGATGCTAACCGTTCCCATAATTTGAGGATGTTTGGTGGTCAAAGAGGTTGTAGAAAAGCTGTTTTACATATAAATAATAATAAATTTTGATGGTCTGTTGATCAGGAACAAGAGATGGCCAGACAAAGGTTGTAAGAGAAGGGGACAATGGTGTAGCATATTCATGGAATATGAAGGAGCAGCAGTGGGATAAGGTATTTCCTTCATTTTATTATCTTTTCAGCCCTTCGTCTCATGGTTAATTTTTTTACGCCTTCTCCACCAATTGTTTAAACTTTTTTATGCATTGTTGTATTATTTTTTTTTAATATTTGGGCTTTGAAATAATCTTTTGCTGCTCTATAAAGGTCACATGCAGTGTTTTGATGGGACATTTTTTACACCCAGTTTAGATGAAAATGACCGGATTGTGATGTGATGAATGAGGTGTTGATATATTGTAATGGATGGGTATTAAGGCTGAAGTTATTGTTTTTAAACCTGCCTGATTTATTACTGTTTTTTTTAATCTCCTTTTGCAGTATTTCTGACCTTTTTTTCTGCCTTGGGTTTGTGGTATTATACTTATTTGACCATGTAATTTGCAGGAAAATTTGAGCCTGCTGATGCATTATGTGCAATATAATGAGTGGCTTCTAGTAGCAACTAATGTAGTTGCCATTGGTCCTTCTCCATTGAATGGCTAATTTTTGATCCATCGCCGTTGATTTGTGTGTGTAATGAGTATGATGTGCCATGTTTGGCAATATTAGTAACAAGTTGTTCATGCCCAGGGCTGTAAAATGAATCAACCTAGCTTTCATTTGGCTTGGTGTAGACAAGGATCATATCGTTGATGAGGGAAGTGGGTATAACATGCCAGGTGATGGGGGAGTTCTGGGAAACGAACTGGTGAGGGGTGAGGCAGTCCCTGTGACCAGAGAGTGACAGTTGAGAGAGAAAGTATAGTATATATCCCAAGTCCTTCGAAGTTTTCCCTTGGGAATGCGGTTACTGTGCTGTAGTGTAAAAGTATAGTAAAAATAACATTTCCATTTACTTTTCTTTCCTTATTATTTCATATTATGATCTAGCCTTATAGAGCTCAGTTACGAATGCTGATTTTGTCATCCACTAGTGCATTTATTTGTGGACAGGCCAAATGATTGAACTTTTCAAGAAATGGTTAACACCCTCAAAATTCTTTTTGTCTAACACTAGCCCTCATATAGTTCCGTTGCAAAGGACATGTTTTGGTTTGTGGCTAGAAAGATTTTAGAAAGGAAAGGGACAAGCGATGATTTGGACATTTGGTGATGTGCAATCATAGACTTACCAGAGGCTGACCAAAAAAAAAAATCCGACTTACAAAAGAAGTTGGAATTTAGAATTTTGAGGAAGTACATAACTAATGAGAGTAAGTGTTGTGAGATCACTTGGGAACTGCATAATTGGAATTATATGCCTTTAAAAGGCCATGAATAAGAGTTTTTGAAAGTTTTTCTTTTTCTTTTCTCTAGTTATATAGATATGCCTTGTAACAAAAGTGAAACTAATGCTAGCAAAGTTTTTTTTGAAAACATATACTTGTTGATTAGTTTTGATGTGCATGAGAGGGAAGGAATTGTGAGGGATCTAGACTCTCCATTCTTTTTCTTGACTAGGTCACTTAGTAAGACCATTGTTCTCTCTTGATGTTTCATTTGAACTATATTTTTGTTTTCTGAAACATGAAAGGAAAATGAAGTGATACTTCCCGCTCTCGCGCTTTTCTTCTTGGGAAGAAAGCAGAGGCTCCTGACCTAAACAGGAAGTCAAATGCTCTTTGAAGTAGTATTCTGGTGTAAGATTACGTGAAACCATGCTGGATGTACCTTTCTAGTGTGAGGTTATGCAATCTCATCTATCCGCAGGGGCTCCTGACCTAAATAGGAAGTCAAATGCTCTTTGAAGTAGTATTCTGGTGTAAGATTACACGAAACCATGCTGGATGTACCTTTCTAGTGTGAGGTTATGCAATCTCATCAGATCTATGAAACATGAGTACGAGTACTGGTACGATACGGGTACGTCAATACGGTAAAATCTAAAAAAAAGTAGAGTATGGGTACGGCTTGGTATGCTTGTAAAAAAATATTTATTTTTAATTTAAAGTAATGCAAAAATTAATTAAATAGTTTAATTTGTTAAGATCCAACCTATAATTAACATTTATTAATGTCAAAAGTAAAAATATAAATCAAAATTAAATGTCAATATATTAAATAACTTACAAACCACAATTTAATTTTAAAATCATGCCAAGCATAAAACTAAAAATAAAAAAGAAGTCTAGTAAACGGAGTTTTATCTCTGTAGTAGAAGAAAATATTGTTTCAACTGAGGTATGGTACGGTACGGCTTGAGTGTATACTAAGTACGTCTCGGTACGTCAAAAATAAGAAGAAATAATTTGGATACGTGTTTCGTGTACCTGATACATATGCAGAGTACCATACGCGGTACCATATGCCGGTAAGTACCCGGTACGGGTACGGCATGTTTTTCGAAGTACCCATGCTTCATAGCATCAGATAGATGTACTTTGAACCTATTTCACTGGATACTATTTAAAAGTTTAATTTACGCTCGCACAGAGATCTTGCACTTGTATGAGTTTACTAATGTCCTAATTCAATGGCTCCGTTTGGTGTAACTGTTAAAACAGCTTATAGATTATAGCTTAACAGATTATAGATTATGACTTTAATCAGAAGTTGTTAATCTGTTTGGTGTAGCTGTTGGATTATAGATTTAAGTTGCTGAGTAGTGTTTGTTAAATAAGCTGTGAAATAGCTTTTTCAATTAATTTTTATTTTTTGTTTGTCTACATTTCTCATAAAAAATAATAATAATAATCTATAGTCCATTTGAGTCTTTTTCTATTTTTAAAAAAATAAAAAATAAAAAAATTTAAGAGTATAACCATAAATTAACATGTCCACAGCAGAAGCTGATAATCAGAAGCAAGGGGTGAGCAGCTTCTCAGAATCAGCTTTTTTGAGTTAAAATAAGCTGTTAGAATCAAAAGCTGTTTGAAATAAGTTTAACCAAACAATCCAAAATAATTTTTTCAAAGCTAAAAGCCATAAGTTGGCTCTGAAAAGCTGAAACAAACACCCCCAATATCTTCATCAACTAAACTTGAGTTCTGTTTGTTCCTTGGTTGTATATGCATTTTGTGGGATTATTTTTTGGTATGTCATTTTCTGTTATTAATGTCTATTTGAGATTTTACACTGGTATTTGCCTAGTTGGCTTAGATATCTAGTTTTAATGTGGCTAAGTCACTTAGTTCTTTACATATGATCTGATTCTGTTCCCAATTTATTGTTTGTGGCCTTTCCTTTTAATGTAGAAATGTTTATACCCAGTATTACTCGTTTAATTTAGATTGGTGAAGTCGTTGATGGACCTGATGATAGCATGAAGCGTCCTGTTCTTGATGGGGTCGAATATGATTACGGTTAGGCTTTTAATCTGATTTGCCCTTTCATGCATGCATCTTTTTTTCTTCTCATTTTTGTCATGACAATTTTGATGCTTTTTCCTCAGTATTCGATGTTGATATTGGAGATGGCGAGCCTACTCGTAAATTGCCCTATAATCGATCAGGTAAGTTAATGCTTCTTAGGTTTTTGTTATGCATCAGAGGTATAATGTAAAGGCTAAAGCTATTGTGTCATTTATTTCCTAATTTACTTGGTGGATGCTGATTGTTTTGTCTTTGTTGGAACATGTTCTGGTAACTTTATAGAACTGTGCATGAATCCATATCTAAGGAGCCATTACTTGGTGTAGTGTTAAAAGATTAATTCCCAGGAAAAAAATGTTAGAAGATTGGGTTGTTCACTTCAGTCTGAAATGCTGGTTCAAACCTGAGGGCCCCACCTTGCAAATAATACCAAGGTTCAGGCTCCAGTCCACAACTTCACCAGCCTGCATTGATACAACTAGTACTTGAACATGACCTTTATGTAGATTTATATATCATGGTCAAACTTAGTGACAGAATGCTGAGAAATAGAGAGGGGTTGTGAAATGGGTTTGAGGTTTAATGGATCTCGATTGATTTGATGAAAAGCATCCAGACATAATTCATGTAGATCAATGGAAAGGTGCAATGAGTTGGGTTTGAGATAGAGAGTTACGGTTTGGTGGGGAGGGTTGCTGTCTTAATGTTGGGAAGTCTCTCAAGGGTGAAGCAGTTTAGTGGCAGAGGCAATAAGGTGTGGTGATGAAGAGGTGGAAAAGCAATGTGTTGAAGGAGCAACAGGAAAGGTGGGGATTGGAGTTGGAGGTGTGAGTGTAACTAAATGAATTTGGAGAGAGTAGCTATGTTTTAACTGATTTTGTAATAGGAACTGTGATTTATATGGCATAACATGTTTACCATAATCCTATTTTATTTATGTCCATTTGGTTGTGGCCTTCCAACTCTCTCAATTTTTTAGTGTTGATGGTCGTACATAGGAAGTAGCTTACCCACATATGGAAGCAGTTATCTTTTTGCATATAATATGTGCTCTTGTAAGATGTTCTGAATATCTTATTTTATGCTTGACGTCCTAGTCATTTTACTTTTACTTTAAACAAATTATGTATGTATTGTTAACCCCAAAGTGATTGAATAATTGGTGAGCTACTTCCAGATAATCCATATGATACTGCTGATAAGTGGCTTTTAAAGGAGAATCTTCCTCTTTCCTATCGTCAACAAATTGTGGAGTTCATACTCCAAAATACAGGACAAAGAGATTTCGCTCTTGATTCATCATTTCGTGATCCTTATACTGGTTGTAAGTATCATGTCATATTCGATGCTTTATGGCCATTGGAGTTGTCTGACAAGGTTCCCAAATTGCTTCATTTTCATGTAACAAATGCTTTTTGTTGTCACATTTCAGCTAGTGCATACGTACCAGGAGGACCATCCAACATGCACGGTATGTTTTCCCCCTTTTTGAGAAGAAAAGTACTACTTCGTCATAGTTTCCATGTTGATTACAGCTTCTCATCTTGTTCAACTTTCTACATGATTTCCCATACGAGACCCGCAGCTTACTCTAATATTGTTGACATTTTGCTTAAAATAACAGCTACCTCAGCAAAACCTACTTTCAAGCATATTCCCAAGGTATGCACCTTTAGGTTTTATTTTTTATTCCTAATACATGCCTTTTTCATATCCTGTCAGATTGTTTCAAATTCAAATGCACTCTTTGAAATTGCATGGCTATGTAAATTGGGGCATTTTGTTTGAGGCCAAAAAGAAAAGGGGAAAATCATGAACAAATCATGTTAACTTTTATATCAGCATATAAAAAGGTATTCCTAGTATTCTGCAACCCACTTCCCTCTGATCCTAAAGTTGCTACGCCCTTTATTCTTGCTTCCAGAAAGGAATGCTTGTCTTTGATGTGGCTCAGTTTGATGGGATTCTCAAAAAGATTTCAGAGTTCAACAATGCTCTGCAGTCTGACCTGGTGGGTTTATTTCCCCTTCAAGTACTAATATGTTTTTGATATTTTTGCCTTTTTGTTGGTTCACTTCTATTTAGTTCTTCCCGCCCCTTCCCCCTTTTTGGGACCATCATGTGTTGATTCCCTCCTTGCTTACTAATCCCATGGTGATTGCTTCTCTTCTTCTGCAGTGTTCTGAATTCCCATGTTTATTATTGTCACTAGATTTGCTTAATCTGAATCCTTTTTAATCTAAACTTCAATTAGACTAATGGTTTTTTTTGGTGACTGACTCTTTATTATTATTATTGTATTTACTATATTAAAAATGTTTGGTTTGGAACACTCATTTTTTAGTTTCTTAAGTGACGGATCTGTTGAAAATCTTCTGAAGGACAAAAAAAGTTTGTCGCTGACTGAGCTTGAGGTTTCAAGATTGGATGCTATTGTTAAAATTCTGAAGGACACATCACATTATCACAGCAGTAGATTTTCAGACGTTGACATCATTTTGTTGCTGAAATTGTTAAAATCCTGGCCACTAGCAATGATGTTTCCAGGTGAGCTTGCATAACTTTAAATGCTTTTAGTGTGTGGTTCATTTTTTTTTATCTGCCTGTGATAGTCCTCAGTTTCATTGTGTTAGGGATGCAATGTTCTAAGTAGTTGGGATAAAGGTTTTTTGAGTTGAGTTAGGGATTCAGTGATGAAGACAGTTGTAGGTTACTAATCACCTCTGGCTTTTGAGAAGCCTTGTAGACCAAACTAAATGTTTCAGTTACTTGGGTGTTATGAATGGGTCACTGCAAATTGTAGAAGTTTATTAAATCAGAGGTGGCAATATTATGGAGTACTCTATCTGGGTTTGCATCCTCTTCGGGAAATCCTTGCATAGAAGGTGCACACAGTTGACTTAAATGGGAACATGGAGTTTGTTAATAGTATCAGATGTGCGATTGCAAAGGTCAGCTTTGAATCCAAATCTCAGGCTGCTCTGAATTTGGAGGTTGGTGATTTGTGCGCAGACTAGCTAGTCAGAGAGGTGGTTGGTTCCCCATGGGCCTCTGTGCATTGCAGCAGACTATGGCTTCAGTTTCACCCTTTCTAATAGTAGACTTGCCGGGTGTTGCTTGACCTTGGTTAGGATTTAGTTTCTTGGGTGTTGTCCCTGCTATGCATCAGAAGAGGGAAAACAATGAAGAAAAGATTAAACCAAATCCAGCCATTCACCCAGGAGGAGCTCCAACCAAGAACGCTCATAGCACAATTTTTTCTTGATTTTTAAATAAGAAGTTCCTGTTGTTTCTGAATTTTAAATAATTTATTCTGTTTCTGAGTCCTTTCATAGCCACTAAATTATCCAGATCACTTGGTTTTGTAGATACAAATTGGTTGAAATCCAATTATCATTTATTTGTAGAAAATTGTGCTTAAGATTTGTGATAAATGAACTAATTAAGCACTCATTCTGTTCTCATAAGCTAGTGATTGGAATACAATTGATTCTTATATTCTTTCTTATTGTTTAGTAGGCTGAAGATTTAATTTCACCCATGGGGTTGATTTCTTATATTCTGTATGTGCAGTTATTGATATCTTGAGGATGATCATTCTGCACCCAGACGGGGCTACTAGACTACTCAAGCATGTTGATGATAAAAATGGTATCTGATTTAGAAATGTACTTTGTATTTCACTTTTGTTTATGACAATGGTTGTAATGGACCTGCTCATGTAAGGACTCCAACATGCCATTTTTGTCAATTCGTATATATGCAACTATCCTGTAATTGTTCAATCTTGATTCTGATGGAATTTAAGCTGGAGCTTGATCAGGCCAGATGATTCCAGAACTGGGCCTTAAGCTGGTTGGGTTGAAGAACATGCCCTTAACATATGCTTACACTTTTGCAATGCATTTGGAATAGGGTGGTGGATGCCTTTTTACCTGTGGTATGTTTTTTTTTTTTTTCAAGTTTGGCATTTACCAAAGACTTTTCTCTAAGCAGATGTGCTAATGGAGATGGTTAAGAATGTTACTACAAGTCCTGCACTTCCAGCAAATCTTTTGACCAGCACTCGTGCTGTGACTAACCTCTTCAAGACTTCATGCTACTATCAGTGGTTGCTAAAGCATCGTAGTGAGGTTAGCATGTTTGGCACTGCAACATAGAAACTTATCTGAATTGGTTTGTGGGTCAACATTAGAGATTCTTATTTCTTGAGAAGAGTGAACCTTTGTCATTCAAAGTATTGATTCCATTAATATATCTGGATTATGGGGTGTTCCTTGGAAACTCAATCCGGGTGCCTTTTTTTCTGCCAACCAGTGGCCTAGTCTGGTTGTAGCCATTTGTGTTGGTGCATGTTTTTTTTTTAAAAAAAAAAAGAAAATACAAGATTGTACTATGACAAATTGCAGAAAGTATAGGTAGCCATTTTTGTTGATGATTGAATGGATTAGTGGATATAATTTGTCTAACAAGTCCATTCACACTAGGTAAACTTTTGAGGGAACGGGTCTCCAGGTCAGTGATTGAGAAAATTTTCCAGGGAAAAAATAGAGCATAATTTTATGAGCCTCTCGTGTTATGCAGACTTGGCAGTTAAACTGCAGTACTTGTGTCATATATCTTATAGATCATTATTATCTTCAGAATATTGGAGATCTTTTCCTAATTGACCCTTTCAATAACTGTGTTGTTATCTGTTTATGCAACCATGCCCATTTTCTGACACTATGGTTTTTCCATTTATCTTTGGGTTCTTGTAGTTCTGACAGTTGATATCCAGGCACATGCACCTGTGATTCATATCCTAGGCCATGTAGCATGGAGTCTTTCACTCGAATGATGATCACTAGATTTTTTTTGCTTTTCTTGCTGTTCTTTCCAATATTTGCTTTGTGTTTGGAATTAACTTCTGATATCAACTTAGTTACCAGTTTCATTATGCAATCTACCTTTTTTCTCTTCTTTTTTTTTTTTTTGTACCTCAAAGGTAGTTGTATTAAGCACTTTCAGCCTCTGAACTCTTGTATGCTTTTATACTAGTTTTTTTTTATTATTATTGCATTTCTTTCTAAATGTGCTTTTATTTTTTATTTTTATTGATCTTATAGAGCACATTTTGTCCCTGGATTTTCTTATTCATTTATACTAGTTTTTCTATCGTATGTATTTAATATGTGCTGATTTTTTATATTTATTGTTTACTGATCTTGTAGATTCTTGATGCATTTTCAAGTTGTTGTTCATCTTCAAATAAGAATGTGCAAGTGTCTTATGCTACTTTGATCCTCAAGTAAGTGGTCTCCGAACTGGTTAGACAAATTAGCTGTGACTTGGGAGTAAGTGGTCTCCTAACTGGTTAGTCATTGCCATCACCACCTTTGACTTGGGAGGACATTTTTATTAGTGAAAACAAAGTTTTGACTCTGAACTTAGATTGAGTGCCTGTTTTAACTGTTGTGATGAATGCCAGTTGCATGCTCAGATCATATGATAGATATTGCTCTACCCTCTGCACTCTACGCATATGTTCAATTAAAAGTTTCCTTCGTTTATCTATGATTAGCTATAGATTGAGAAATTTGTACTTCACAAGTATCTTATATATACATATATATATATATATATATATTGTGGATAAGTACATATGTATTTCATTCATAAAAAAGGCACCGAGGAGGTGCCGCCCATATACAAAACCAAATGGAAAAGGCGCGTTCAACCTATAAGAAAGACAAAAGCCCTATATAAGTAACTCTGGAAAGACTACAAAATTCAAAAATTGGTCAAAGGATAATTCAAGAAATATACATTTAAGCATAAAAGAGAGAACATCATTTTCTCATCCATACGACTAACGAATTACTATGAAAATGGGGCAAACTTTTATTTGAATTAATTTTTTTTTAAGGAAATTCATTGTAATTATTTCAAATTTGTGGGGCTCCACATTTTCTTCCAAATCTCAAGGGAGGTTATTGTAATCTACCCTTGTGCTTGGTCAAATTTGGCATATACTTCAGTTTTTCTTTAGTAGTTGGAGACATGTTTCCTTTTCCCGCCTTTGATTCTTGAGCTGTCATTTGTGGGCATTACAGTTATGCTGTGCTGTTGATTGAAAATAAGGACCAAGAAGGCCAATCCCAAGTTCTGTCAGCAGCTCTTGAGGTAGGTCTTTACTTTCATGCAGTTGTTAAATTAAAATTTTAAATGAAAGCATTAGGCAGTATCACGCCCAGTCAACCAAGTTGTTGTGGTGGGTTTTATTCACTTTCAATTGAAGTTTTCAAAAATTGGAATGATTGAATTTATTGTTCATAAAGTTTATGATATATGTATATATATCTTTTTTGGACAGATTGCTGAAGAGGAAAACCTTGAAGTTGACCCAAAATTCCGTGCTTTAGTTGCCATTGGATCGCTGGTATCTTTTAATTACTGATTTTTTGTTATGCTACCATAGTAATTGCCACTTAAGGGTGGGATAATGGATTTAGGTAGGGATATGGAAAGGGAAAAGAAAAGATAAGAGCAATGTGAATGAAATATAAGCTAATTTTTTTCCCCATTTCTCTAGCCTTCTCTTTCCTTTTTTGAATCCATGATCCAAACATAGCATAAGAGAATAAGTTTTGGTCATCTGTTAGATTTCTCATATGCATTTTTTATTTTTTTTGTTGAACTGTCTCATACGCATGTTCATTTGTCATTTCTGTGAATTTATGTGCAAAAGAATTGTTCTCATAAGAATGTCCTCTTACATTCCTTTCTATTTCTATAGGAGATGGGTGTTCTTTGTTGCACATGGTCAGGCCATCTTAGTCATAGGTCCTTAATTTTTATTTTTTAAATATATGTATTTTTCAAGATTGTTTCTCCACACTTTGTTCAAAGAAAATTTTCTTTCAAAACAACTGATTTTCTGGAAACTATTTTACACTGTTTTCGTGTAAAACTGAAGCTCACTGGAATGTGGAACCCATTTGAAAAGGATTCTGTTTCAATGTTCTGTTTGTTTTCCTTATTTCCGAAGAGAGAGAGAGAGAGAGAGAGAGAGAACTGAAAATGAATTCCAAAATGACCTTTGTGTGGATTTTTTAAGCTGGATTTATTATTTTTTAGCTATTGTCTGGAACATGATTTGATTGTCCTGCTAGTTTGATCGGAGTGGCAGTTGTTTAATTCAATATGAGGGTTTTTATATATATATATATCAAATTCACTATTTTAGTAAACAATGTCATTGATGTGTTCTCTATGTACAGATGCTTGAGGGCCTGGTCCGAAAAATAGCAGTGGACTTTGATGTTGAGAACATTGCCAAAACAGCAAAAGCTTTTAAAGACACCAAGATTGCAGAAGTTGGAGCTGACATTGAATTGATAATAAAGCAGAGCTGACTTTGTTCATCCCTGGTAACTGATCATTTTGTTTGAGCCATCCCCATTATCCCTCTCCAGGTAGTTCAGATATAAAGCATTATTGAAAAGAAGAAATAACGTGTTTTTCAATTTCTTTGGATTACAAAAGGAGAGAGATCAGGTACCAAGCAGAATTCATCAGGACATGGTGCCGTAGGGAGCTGATAACCAAGCAAGGTGCAGTCTAGATGTATACAAGGAACACAACCACCTGATTGTGGAAATTCTGTGCTGTGAAATCAACATTCAGGTTTTTTTTTTTTCTTTCCTATTTTTAGAAAAAAAATTCAAATATTCTTGTGATTTTAAGAAACAATGAATTTGTGGTTTAAAGTAGCAGGAATTTTTGCTGACTACCTTGCTTGTGTTGATAGAAAGCAATTTGTATACTGATGGGAATTCTCTGAAATTGTTATTTTTCCGAGTGATATGCACAAACTACACCATATTACATTTATATGGGAATAACACTTGTCAATTTAGGACTGCCCTTTTGCCTGTTTGAAGGCCCTTCTTGTGATTTTTATGTTTTGGTATTGTTTTCTCTGTTTTTGCTTTGTGTTTTTTTTGGGAAAAAAATTTAGAAAAATGATTTATCTCCCTAATTTTGCTCCCCCAATTCCACATGTGGAATTAGGATGGTTAAAGATGAGAGAGAGGAGTGTGGGACTGCTTCAAATTGGGAGTGGAATTGGGGAGCCTCAATTAGGGGATGTAGCGGGTCCGAAAGTTTATTAAAAAATAGACCACATTCCTTGTTTGCATTTTTGTTTTAGATTAATGTTTGGTGGTCCGAAAATATGGGGCTCGAAAATGGCAAAATGACGTCATTTTACACCTAAAACGACGTCGTTTTGAGTGTTTCGAGTCACATTTTCGGGCCACCAACCATTGTTGTTTGTTTTAAAACAGTTTTGAAAGTTTGAAAATAGCTTTTTAAATATTTTCTGGAAAGTGTTGTTTTCTAAAAGTAATATCCAAAAACAGTATGGGAACAACAAAAAAAAGAAAAAAAAACAATATTGAATGAATAGGCTATATACCAAGCTGCTTTGATACCGATACCAGAACTTTGTGTGAAGCAAAGTCATGTCTTTCTTTTTTGTATACTCTATATGGTATAAAGGGGCAATTTGGCAATCCAGTTAAAAGTTAACTTTTAGTTTTTAACTCATTTTGGATCACACCACCTCTCATATTTTTTAGACACAAAAAGATAAAAAAAAGTCAACAAATAAGCTTTTAACTAATTTTTCAAATCACCCCAAATTTAGATGTGTCGTACCATATCTTGAGTTTATTCTATTATGTTGCTAGATAGGTTTTCTTTGGTGCAAAGCAAAGATGTGAGAGACAACTAGGCAAGCCTCTCAAAGGACACTGACCAACCTTTGAAGCTTTTCTTATTGTTGTGAACACCATGGTTAGGTCAGGTATAGGCAGTGTTGTCAATATCGGGTGTTACGTATCATATTGCCCGTTAGGTACTAACTAGATTTTGATCTTATGATATTGTTATTTATTGATATATTAGCCAATAGTATTTATTGCATTATAATATCAGCTGATATATGATCGTCTCATATATTGATGGGAGATCAGCACACTTACTGACCTGTGTATGAGCATGACCAATCTTGGTTTTGTGTTGTGTATGCATCAAAAAAATTTAATCTTTTATCATCTCTCTAGAATCAGTCTCTGAAGAAAAACGACAATATTCTAAAGTTTTTAATTTTAAGTAAAGAAAATAATTTATAAATAGAATTTGTATATAAAAAATTTATTCTAAATAATTTAACAGTGACAGTTTTTAAATTATTAATTAAAATAGTGAAGATCTTGATTTGAAATGAAATAATCAAGTTCACGTTTTACCTAAACAGTATTATATCAGAATAATTATAAATAAATAAACATGGATGAATGGAAAGAATAATTCAATTGCACGACAAGTGCCTTGAAATTTCCAATCGGATGGCTATAAAATACTAAGTAAATTTTAGAAAGTCTTTAGTTGGATTCAAAAGCAGTCATGCATAACAGATCTTGAAGTTTTTGCCGTGTTCAATAATATTCATAAAATATATATTAAAGATTCGTTTGTATTTATATGAATTTAAAATGTATGAATTTCACATTAATTATTTAATAAAAAAAATTCAAATTAAGATTTGATTGTTTACTTATGAATTTTAAAATTAAATTATATGACTTTATCCTATTAAAATACGTTTCTTTTATTTCAACTTATAATAATTAATTTTTTAACATCTGGCATCAATTTTTTTAATTTGAAATTTGCACAACTTTCCAAACAATCATAGTATCTAATTATAGGATTTTGTTAAAGTGTGCTTTTAGGACATATATTTAAAAGTGTTGTACATCTTTAGTGTAATAAAAAATGTATAATTATTTTAAAGTTTGCTTAACATAGTTTAACAAAATGTATAATTATAATAAAAATGACTTGTTAACAAGTGTCTATAAAATCAAAAAAAGAAAAGAAAAAAGAATTAGAGAAGACAAAATACTTCTCACTAAATTCAATATATATATTTTTATTTAATAAATTAATATGTATTTTAACACTTTTAACTTATTTTCACGGTACTTTCTAATTTTAAATAATATTCCAAAAATAAAATAAAATAAAGGTAGTGTTTGATTTATTTTTCAAAATTCAACTCTGTTTTTAAATCATGATTTGAATGAAACATGTTAATCAAATATATTTTTAAATTACAACTCAAAATTACTTTCAAAATTCCTCTCTTTTTTTTTATAATTATTATTCAATTAATCAATCATTTTTTACTCTCATTTCTCCTCTCGTATTCTCTTACATTCTATACATCAATCAAAAAAAAAAAATAGAAGTAATTCCAAAATTATTTTCAAAACTCATAACTAAATGATTTTTTTTTCAAATCATTATTCAAAAATTTAAAATATAATTCTACGCTCCAATAATAATCTTCCCTTTAAAACTAAACTATACGGACCCAAAGAATCTTGTAACTGTTAAACAATTTTTAAATTAAATTATTCCTTTAAATACTCGAAATTCACATGAAAAAAATAAAATAAAATAAAAACGCGTGCTTTAACACCCAATAAAGTCTCTCCCTCTCTCTCTCTTCCCAGGCCATTCTCATCATCATCACCACCACAGATCTTCCCAATTTTACAGCCCAGGTCACTTCTCTCTCTCTCTCTCTCTCTCTCTCTCTCTCTCTCTATATATATATATATATAATTTGTATGTATGAATTCGTGGTAGACCTATTTGTATTTGTTAGTGGGATAGAAAACCTAATTTGTAATTGAAGTGGATGCATCTCAACGACACAACAACCCAATCGAATTCTTTTATTTATTTATTTATTGCAATTGATCGATCTTTCACATGTTTTCAATCAAATCGACCCCTTTTGGTTGCTGAGAAACTGAGCAAAGAAAATTAAACGAAATTTTGTATTTGGGTCTTGTTGAGTCACCGACTTATGATCCATTCTTTGTTGTGAAGTATTCAAGGTTTCATTTTTTGCTTGTATTTACCAAACGAATGTTTTGAGATTTTGGTTCAAATTTTAGTATGATCGTATCGTCGTATTTATCATTTCCATAACCATAAAAATTTTGGGTTTTGGGACAATTGATGGTCTATTGGAGGCTAGTTTATTCATTTTTGGTGCCTTTTGTTTTGGTTATAGTGCATCAAAATTGAATTTTTGTAGTTGGTGATTGATTTGTAATTTTATGTGAATATATCAGGTGCTTAAAGTTTTGGACAATTGATGATTTGTAATAGTGGGTTTTGGGCAATTGATGATATATCGGAGGCTAATTTATTCATTATTGTTGCCTTTGTTTTATTTCTAGTGGATCAAAATCGAATTTTTTGTAGTTGATGATTGATTTGTAATTTCATGTGAATATGTCAGGTGCTTCAGGTTTTAGGGTTTGGGTATGAATAGTGGTTTTGGCCAATCAACTGGCCCTTCGTGTTCAGGCAATACTAGCAATGAAATGGGTGATTTTGAATGTAATATATGCTTTGAATTAGCTGAAGACCCAATAGTGACTCTCTGTGGCCACCTGTACTGTTGGCCCTGTCTTTATAGGTGGCTGCATATACACTCACATTCTCACGAGTGCCCGGTTTGTAAGGCCCTTATAGAGGAAGAGAAGTTGGTTCCAATATATGGAAGGGGCAAAACAAGTTCAGACCCGAGATTCAGATCAATTCCTGGAGAGGACATTCCTCATCGCCCTGCAGGCCAGAGGCCCGAAACAGCTCCTCCTCCTGCTCCAGATGCAAACTATTTCCGTCAAGAACAGGATGGAATTTTGGGAGGTTTTATGCCTAGGGGGGCTGCAAGGGTTGGGAATTTCACCTTGTCTGCTGCTTTTGGTGGTTTGATTCCGTCTTTAAACCTTCAGGTGCATGGATTTAATTATGCTAATGCATATGCTCCCCCCACTGGATTTCCCTATATGTTTCCTGGTTCATTTCATGGGGGTCATGCTCATGGATTTCATCATCATCACCATCATCATTCAAATCAAGGACAGCAGAGAGATTCATTTATGAAGATGTGGTTCTTCTTTGTTGGTGTTGCCACAATATTCTACCTTCTTTCGGCATAGGGATTTTATTTTGAAAGGTGGAAAATAGGCATATGGGAATAATAGTAATGCACCTGTATCTGTTATTTCAGTAAACATCTGATTGTGCTCAGAATGTGTATTTTTTTTTTTACTAAGTGCTGTTAGAGCTTAATTGTTATATATTTCCCTGGGAAATAAATAATAATTAGCTTGTAAGTTTGTATGTTTTATCCACCCCCTCCTTTGTATTCTTTATCTGTCGAAGAATGATGCATAATTGCAATTAAATATTACCCAAATTTCATCGGATGTAATGGTTTCCAAAGGCAAACATCTTTTTGGTGTCTTGTAGGATTACATTGGTTTACTGTTGTGTCAATTGGCATACTATGTGTTGATATATCAATTTCATTGGTTTTCATACTTTTTGTAGTTGGCTTTTAACCAAGTACACTTGATGTTTACTGAATGTAAGTGTTCTGTGGCTTGAGTTAGAACATTGTGACATTCTTGTACACGGTTGTCACTTCTCCATTTTGGTTTATTAGTGGCTCAGATATTTGGTCAACAAAATTTAGAGGAAATATTTTTTTGTGTGCGACTTGGAGGAAATGAAATTGGTTCACTGATGGAGGAAAGATCAGATTTTGCAAGTCCCGTCTTGCATTGAATGTTAAGAGCCATGACTGATCTGTTTATAGCGGATAGAATGTGCATTAACATGCAAGTCATGACTTGCAAATCATGATGAACAAGTCATGATTTGCAGTATGTTGGGATTTATTAAGAATTCAAAAAGGGCAAGTTGACTTGTGATGGGGGCCGTCTTAGCAATATCTGGATTTCTAAATACTAACCTTCACCAGCTTGCAGTTGGGTGCAGCCAACCTGTACTGGAAATAGAAGTTGGTGGGGGTATGCAAAATTGACTTCTATTTGTTGCATGGTTCTTAGAGAATAAGTCGGCTGAGTTGGGAGCATGAAATCAAATAAAAAATGCCTTTCATCAAACATGATCTTGCCATTTGCCATTTGCCATTTGCCATTTGCCATATATGTAAAAATATATGCTTGAACTCCATGTCCAGTATAAGAAGCAACAACCTTCAAGTTTTTTGTTTTGTGAGATAACATGGGAAATTGGAATTCTTGAAGACATGATAACGCTGTTTGTAAAACTTGGGGGAGAGGGGGGGACATGTAACAGTACATTGTGAGTGAGAAGAATACGCAAAATTGGTCTCGGAAAATGGACCGAAGGCAGTTGGGAGTTGAAAGACAGATGGCTGATCTTATGCGCAGGCAAAAGATAGGTGAGAGAAGCTGGAATGAATCAACGAAAATGTGGGAGATAGCAGGGCCTGCCATACTAACATCAGTGGCTCAGTTCTCTATTGGGTTTGTCACAGTTGCCTTTGTTGGTCATTTGGGAGGGCTTGAACTTGCTGCAGTCTCTGTTGTTCAGAATGTCATTGAAGGCTTTGTTTATGGAATTATGGTAAGGTAGTCCAATGCCATGTATGTAATGTTCTTGTACTACAATAATTTCTATAGCCTGTGTAATAATTCCATTTTAGCATCTTGCAAGTCCACTGTTTTGAATAATGCATCACTCTTTTTTTTATTTTTTATTTTTTATTTTTGGGTAACAAGGGTATCTGGGACTTTGTCCCGACTTGTCGTGGATACATGCTCTTCCTGTCCCACATATACCGGGTATTAATTACAGGGCACAAGCCCTGAAGGACACCAAGGGAATCAAACACTTCACAGGATTTGAACTCTTATCATGACTCAACTTGGCACTCAACTAATTTCTTGGGGTTAATGCATCTCTGTTTTGATTTAGCATCCTAACACCATACCTTAACATGGACTGAGTCTTTGGTTTTCTTGTAAATTTGTTGTACTTAGCTAGGAATGGGAAGTGCTCTTGAGACACTATGCGGTCAAGCCGTTGGTGCTAGACAATTCAACATGCTTGGAATCTACATGCAAAGATCATTCATTATCACTATAATCACAGCTTTGTTACTGACACCTGTTTATGTCTTCACATCACCTTTGCTAAAGCTGCTTCATCAAAGTAAAAGTATTTCAGAACTATCAGGGAAGTATGCTATATGGGTGATCCCTCAATTGTTTGCTTATGCCCTCAACTTTCCGATACAAAAATTCCTCCAAGCTCAAAGCAAAATCTGGGTAATGACCATAATTTCCATTGTAGCCTTGGCATTTCATGTTCTGTTGAGTTGGGTGCTCGTGACAAAGCTCAGGTATGGCCTTCTTGGTGCTGCCATAGCTGGGAACATCTCTTGGTGGCTAGTAGTTCTGGCCCAGATGGTCTATGTGGTTTCTGGTTTTTTCCCTGAATCTTGGACTGGCTTTTCTTCGTTGGCATTTAAATCTTGGGCTAGTTTCATAAAGCTTTCGCTTGTCTCAGCTGTAATGTTATGGTAAGCCCTCAGATTTCAAATGTGATATGAACCCGTTTTGAGATTTTACCATAAATATAACAATCGTAGTGTTTTGTAGCTTGGAGCTATGGTATTACACTCTGGTGATCCTTATGGTGGGCTGGTTAAAGAATCCTGAAATTGCAATAGATGCCATCTCAATCTGGTTAGTTATTTGTTATTTTTCTATTATCCAAGCAATTACAGGCGGGCTTCGAATTCTTCCCTGAAACATTACTAAATTTCAGTGACTTGTGAGTAATCTTGCCCTTGATGGATCTTAGACCTTATTCTGATCTTCTCTTTGCGTTTGCTTTTGCGGTAATATGACAGCATGAACTTGCAACTCTGGACCCTGATGATTACACTGGGTTTCAATGCTGCAGTCAGGTAAGAGATTTCTCTTTTCCAATTATTCTAGAGTGGGATGATTTGTTGAGCAGTATAATTCTCATGATTTTATTTTTATATTCTAAATATTTTTTAATAATTCAGCATATATGCTAAATTTATTAGTTACAATCAAATTATCAGATTATATGCCACAAAACAAGTTAAAAACTTGCCTTACGAAAAATGGTTCTAATGCAAGAGTTTCCAATTAAAAAATCCCTGCAATTTTCATGGGCTAAAGTAAGCATAGAGTTCCTCAATGTTTGGTTACAGAAAACAAAATAAATGAATAGCTTTCACTTGTTAAGCATTTCCCAACGCGTCTTCAGTTTTCTCAACTTCCTTGCAGTGTTCGAGTTTCGAATGAACTTGGAGCAGGACGTCCAACAGGTGCCAAATTCTCAGTTGCCGTGTCTGTTGTCACATCAACCTTTTTTGGGATTCTGTTCACAGCAGCAATTCTTGCAGCTAAGAGCTATTTTCCCAAAATGTTCACAGGAAAACATGAGGTTATAAGAGAGACATCAAAGCTGGGTTATTTTTTGGCTGCAACCATTCTCCTCAACAGTATCCAACCTGTTCTTCACGGTAACATTTTTATTTTGTTTTTTACAAAGTTTAATTACTACCAATAAATAGAGGTTTTCTGTCATTTCCATCAATGCCATGACATTAAGATCTCTTCTGTATAATTGCAGGGGTAGCTGTAGGTGCAGGCTGGCAGTTTTCAGTCGCATTGATAAACATTGGGTGCTACTATGTCTTCGGCCTTCCTTTTGGTGCCTTGCTTGGTTACAAATTCAAGCTTGGCATTGAAGGGATTTGGTCGGGGATGCTAGCTGGTTGTCTGCTTCAAACAGTTATTTTATTGCTGAATGTTTTCCGAACTAATTGGCATAAAGAGGTCAGTGTATTAGGATTTATTGACAATCACATTATGACTAGATTGGGTATGGGAACAGGACCTAATTTAAAAGGGTGTAATATTTGAATTATACATGACCAGTTTGGATCTCTATTCAATCAAATCATTACACCAATTCTATCAGGATTACTCACAAGTCACATCTAATTATCCAGAGAAATTTTATTTGAAGTTTTTTACAGACATTTATTGCATTATCACTCCTATTTCAAAAGTAAATCACCTATGTTACTTTTAACAGAATAATGTGTGGTATATCTATCTGATGCAGGCAAGGCAAGCTGAAGAGCGTATCCGATCATATGGTTCCTCGCCGCTGCCCCAAAATGAAAGAGTGGGAATGGCGTTGATCAGTGAAAATTGAAGATGAAAGAAAATAGGGGGACTAAGCCTCCACAATTCTTTTACTATAGGAATAAATTGTTGCAACAGAGTTATGTTTCATTCTACGTTACCATTCAGAAAAGCTGGCACTGCAATTGTAGTTTGAGAATACTGTGCCTACACCTAAAGTTGCTGATGAATATGCAAAAAATTGTTCTTTTCTATTTCTTTTTTTATAGATGGAGATTATCCAGGTTCAATTCTTGTTGGTACTTCACATCAAGAACCTAGATCTTTGACACATTCAGAAGAGAGACTTTTTTTTTCTTTTTGTTTTTGACTGGACAGGTGCAATTGGAAGAGATCCAATGCCGTTTCAATGTCTATATGGCGAGCATTTTACTGCTTAATTTTCGATCTTCAAAATAATGGAATTTTCTTGGCTTGTAGAGATATGAACAAAAAATTGCCTCTACTATTCTGGGTTGGCAGGATAAAAAAAAAATTCTCCATACATTTCAGGTTTACCTAAGACCCACCCTTTTTGACTCCCCATCCCAAGTCTTTGTAAATCCTACGTCCCAAAGGGTCTGATTTGAAACAAATGCATGACACTGAACGTATGGCATATTCTTATTGTAAAATGATACATAACTGTAACATGCAGTGATGAAATTAGTGTTTGAAATGAGACTTGTTAGAACAATGTGATAAAAACAACTCAACTGATAGAAGTTGGTAAATTTTGTTAGTTTGTTACATTACGTATGCGATGACATGAGAATTCAGACCATGCAATGATTATATTCTGACTTAGATGATCAATGCACACAGTGTTTAATTTTTAGTAACTTTTTAATTTTTGACTAAAATATGAAGTAAAAAAAAATTAATATGTTTAAAATAATTTTTTATTTTTTACGAAAAGATGTGCAAAAAGAAAAAAGAATATTTGACTTTTTAATATAAATTATAAGTTTTTTTTTTTTTAAAAAAAAAATAATTTTTTGACTTTTAGACCAAAACAGACCAAAAGTGTTACATGGTAAACGAGGAGCAAGGATCCTCTAGAGTGATTTTTTCTTAAAGTTTCCTAGAATGTTACATTGTGTGGTTGAGATTTATTGGTAAGTCACATCAATTTTTCTGATGTGACTTGCCAGTAAATCTGAACCATACAATATAGCACGGAAACTTTAAGAAAATTTCACTATAGAGGATCCTTAGTGGTAAACGAGGGTTTAGTATCATTTGCAATATTGTCTTGGGTGTTGACACCACATTAAGCTCAATATTTGTTCCAATTGAGGAAGCTTTTCCTACCCCCTCAAGTCCCAAGGTCAGCACCATAAGAAAATTGGCTAGATAAGCGCCTTAATATGTATTTTCTATTGGATATTGTCAACAAAATTAGTTGGTGGAGTACGCAAAGTCAGAATAGAGCATTCCACCAAACTCTGCTCTTTATTGTTTTCCTTTTGCCATATAACAAGCAAGATTGATGAATAAAGCCAAAAAGTAACAGCCAAATTAAGACCCAGAAATAAAGTCTCTGTATTTAATTCACTTATTGATCATTGATTCGCGTTGTATAGAAAAATTAACCCCATAGTAGGTGATCATAGCAGAATCCATAAAAAAAATATATATACTTATATATTTGAAGTAGGTGGACAGACAAGCCCACAATTTCCTCAGGTAATACCTGCAAATTTGTCAGGTTTTGAAACCAAACCTCTATTTAATTGGATTCTCTTTGACTGCCACTATATTTATATATCATACACATATATGTTCTGAAAGAGAGAGAAATGATAACATAAGTTGTTTTACATTGTGGGTTTTTGAAGTTTTGCTTTGATGGAAGAAAAGAGCCCCGAAGCAAGGAGACAGGTGGCTGAGCTTGATCTGGAGGGGGAAAAAATAACAGAAAAATGTTGGGATGAATCAAAGAAGATGTGGCAGATAGCAGCACCTGCTATGCTGACTGCAGTCACCCAATTCTCTATCGGGTTTGTCACGGCGGCATTCGTAGGCCATTTGGGTGATGTTGAGCTTGCAGCAGTCTCAATTGTTCAAAATGTAATTGAAGGATTTGTCTATGGTGTCATGGTAAGTATTGATTAAATTCTTGCATATGTAGTGTTTGATTTATTGTAGGTGAGAACTAAAATCTAATTGGTATTGTGTCTTGTGTGCTTTGATCACTAGTATGATAAATAATGGCATGTAAACAAAATTGATTAAACAATCTTTGGGAACCGAGCAATCACGCACACACAAACAATGATCTAGAACAGAGAAGATCAAACACACACAAAGGAACCACAAAAAATTTACGTGCTACATCCAGAGTCATTGGGCTTGTTAGGTTTGCTTTTGGAGAGTTATTTTTGAAAACAAATTTCAAAATTTTGTTTGGTTTGTGGTTTTTTTCAAAAAAATTTCAAAACCACTCTCTCTCTTACACATCAATTAATCACTTTTTCTCTGTTCTCTCTTTTTCTCATTCACTTTTTCTCTTACACACATCTACTCAATTTCAACAAAATATTAAATCATCTCAAACTCCAAAACTACTTTCAAAATATAGAACCAAACAAATCAAAAAAAAATCTTCGTTTGGTGTACCTTTCAAAATATAATTTCACACTCACTAAAGTGTGGTGATTGTTTAGCATTTTTAAAAATTAATTTTACATCTGCTTTTGTTTAGAGTTTTGAAAACACTTTTTTTCTTCCTTCTTTGAACAATTTTGTGGTTTTTTTTTTTTTTTTTCCCCCCCTTTTTTTTTTTTTTTTTTTTTTTTTTTTTACACCTGTTATTTTTATATTACAAAAAAAAAAATATTTGTGAAATTTTTTTAAAACTTTTTTTGAGTTTTGAATAGAATTTTGGGTTGTGTTTTTTGTTATGAGTTATAAGTTTTTGTATCAAATATCATTTGTCACCTCACTCAATTCAAACTCAATTTAAAATTCTTAACCAAACAAATTTTCCACACTCAAATCATAATTCCAAAACTCACAAACTCAAAATACAACTCTATTCTCAAATCATAATCTTAAAACTCTACCAAACGCTACCTAAACTCTCTCTCCAAATTTTTTTTTGAAAATCACTCTCTCAAAAGCAAATGAGACGTACCCATTGACTCTCTCTATCATTTCTCACTAATGTGTATATCTCAATCACATAAAATGAAGGAACAATGATCTTCTATAATAAAGTTACAAAGGAGTATTTGTAATGCTAACTCCGAATCCAAGCCTTGGGCAACATGGAATAGAAGTCTAGTGGCCAAAACCAGATAAAATACTGACTTTGGCATGCACGAAGTCAATCACGTTGGCTAAACCACGCTCTGGCTCACTAACACCAGCAGCCAAAACCACCCTATTTGATTTAGAGTTACATGCTTGAAAGTTGCATCCACATAACTCTAAATTCACCTGAACAAACCTGAATGAATCTGAACTTACTCTATTTGATTTGACTAATTCTTCTGTAGTAGCTAGGGATGGGAAGTGCCCTTGAAACACTTTGTGGCCAAGCAGTTGGTGCAGGGCAGTTCAACATGCTAGGAATCTACTTGCAGAGATCATGGATCATAACCATCGTCACTGCTTTGTTTCTAGCACCGTTCTATGTCTTCTCATCGCCATTACTAAAGCTCCTTCGTCAAGACAAAAACATCTCTGACCTTGCCGGGAAGTACTGCAGATGGGTAATTCCTCAGTTGTTTGCATATGCCCTCAACTTTCCTATACAGAAATTTCTCCAATCTCAAAGCAAAGTTTGGGTCATGACTGTATTCTCAATATTATCTTTGGGAATTCATGTGTTGTTGAATTGGGTTCTCATAACAAAGCTTGGGAATGGCCTGCTTGGCGCTGCCATAGCTGGGAACATTTCATGGTGGATTCTTGTCTTCGCTCAGATAGTTTATGTGGTTTCTGGATATTTTCCCGATGCGTGGACTGGCTTTTCTTTATTGGCCTTCAGGTCATTGACAGGTTTCTTGAAGCTCTCGCTTGCCTCTGCTGTAATGTTATGGTTGGTACATGGCACTCAGATTTTATAATTCACAGAGAACCTACTTTTAATATTTATCGGGTTTATACAAATACTATTTGTTGGTGACAGCTTGGAACTATGGTATTACACCGCAGTGATTCTCATGGTGGGAGGCTTGCAGAATCCAGCAATTGCTGTAGATGCCATCTCAATTTGGTTAGTTTTTTATTTACCCGTTCGCTGTCGCTCTAGAAGCATCTTACGACATCTAGTTATTTCCATTATTTTCATTTTAAGCCGTCTTGTTTCATTATCCCATTGAAGCATGCTCTACATTAATTTTAATCTTTCTCTAACTTCTTTAAATTTCGCAGCATGAACTTACAATTGTGGACTTTGATGATTGCCCTCGGTTTCAACGCAGCTGTGAGGTTAGCCGTTCTCTTAACCAATAGCGTCCGTGTCCGGAACCATAATGACACATTTCTGTAAAATTTAACTAGTGTAAGGTGAATTCAGCGAAACAAAACAAGATTTTAGATTAAATGGGTTGGAAAAAAAATTCAAGAATGAAGATCGTTTGATTAATTCAAGAATCATATACATTCATGATATTTCTGGAATCATTTGCAATGAGATGGAAGAGGACATGCACTCTAAAACAAAAAAACTCGAAAATTTGATGTCTAGTGTTCTGTTAAATTTTTTTCCCTTTGTGTTCTAACTTCGAACATATTCTGACCTTTCTTGCAGCGTGCGAGTGTCCAACGAACTAGGAGCAGGACGTCCAAAAGCTGCAAAATTCTCAATAGTGGTGACTGTTTTGACATCTGCAACATTTGGAGTTCTGTTTACAGTGGTGATTCTGGTGACCAAAAACGATTTTCCCAAACTATTCACAACAAAGCCTCTTGTTTTGGGGAAGACATCCAAGTTAGGGTATTTTTTGGCAGCAACTATCTTCCTCAATAGCATCCAACCAGTTCTTCATGGTATATTCTCTTGAGCTCTCCTTGTAGATCACTCGTTAACTCGCATCATTGCTTCATTATTGAAAGCTTAATCTTTACTGTTTCCAAGGTTAGCGTTAAATATAACTATAAGAGAATGAACAATCACTTCATTTTGCATACCATCATTTGAAGCTAAGATTTGTAAAATAGCTTGGCAAAATGTTTTTGTGTAAATTTTTTTAAAACAACCAACTTTTTCCATAAACACCAAAAAGTTGTTTTTGAATTCTCGAAAACAACTTTCGCACTAAAATGAAAATGATGTGAAAACAATGGCTATTTTCAAACTTGTCATCAATTTTGTTTTCGAAAACATGAAAAATCAACACAAAGAAAACGAAAGCTGTCGTCATTTTCATATTTTCCGCACAAAAATAAAATGATGTTATATGTTTTCAAACTTCTTGTTGATTTTGTTTTTGAAAACATGAAAAACCAAAAAAGAGAAAACAAAAGTACTTTCATATTTTTTGTACAAAAATGAAAATGAGGTGAAAATAATGGTGTCTTCAAACTTCTCATTGATTTTGTTTTTGAAAACATTGAAAACCCAAAGGTTTTCTCCTTTTTTGTGAAAAAGTAGTTTTTGAAAATTCAAAAACTTCTTTTTGGTGCTTATTTTCACCAAACTAGTTTTTAGTATTTTTTAGAAAACAGATGGTGAAAACAAAACCGAACAGCTATCTCTCATAGCTCTCTCTTGACATGGGAAAGTGATTGGGAAATTGCTTTTGCCTTTGAATCAAAAATTCACAAATCATTCAAACTACATCCAACTGTGCAACTGATGCATTTAGATTTTCTCGCGACAAATGAGCTTGCAACAATCATGATTTGGATATCGTTTTCTTGAAATTGCAGGGGTCGCAGTAGGTGCAGGCTGGCAGTTTCTGGTTGCCTTTATCAACACAGGGTGCTACTACGTAGTCGGCCTTCCAATCGGTGCCTTGCTTGGTTATGTGTTTAAGCTCAGTGCAAAGGGCATCTGGGTAGGGATGTTGGTTGGTGGCTTGCTTCAAACAGTTGTCTTATTGTTCATTGTAATTCGAACAAACTGGAACAAAGAGGTAAAACTCAAGACATCTTATTCTCAAAGCTTTTGAAGTGATTATTATGAAACAGAGCATTGTTACTAATGCTATATAGGGTAATCTCCTTTTATTTTCTTCATTTTCAAGTGTTTTTGTGTGGAACAATACAGTAACCTTTCAAACTCTTTTAATGCTCACAACCTGTAAAATGCGCTTTGTCTTCAATAATTTGTTCCAAAATTTAACCAAACGGCCTAATAATGCAGGCTTTGCAAGCTGGGCAGCGTGTTAGAACATGGGGCGGTCCAACTGAGCTTCAACGAACTTCGACATGTTCAACACAACGGATTGGTGAAATATAAACCAATTGTGCTTGAATAACGCATGAGAGGAAGAGGTGGAAGACTTCTTTTTCTATTGAGGTTTTTTTTAAATTTTTTTTTTTTTAATAATTTGTTTACTTATTTTATCAACGCTTCATATTTTTGTTTAGTATTGCCCATTTTTTAATAAAGCTTCGCCCCTCTTTTCTTTATTGTTTATTGTTCTTTTTCTTTTTCCAAATACAGAAATCCTCCATTTGCAGGTTATAATTAGAGCATATTACCACCTAATTTGAAGCGTAAGATTGAAAATATAGATGAAATTCAAACAAAAAAAAAAATTCATCAAGTTCAGTCGAAAAGCATCTTATCTACTAGGCCAATCCTTTGATCTTTAAACTTTTTAGTTCATACAAGATTCAAAGAAAAAAATACAAGTAACCAATGCTATTGAATAAAAGTAATGATTGGGCCTAGTCAATTTGTCCATTTGGATTGATAATGAAAAAGAAAAAAACAGAAAAGAATTCAAGCACAAAAAAATAGTCATAGAAGAGGGTTTGGTTATAGGGAGAGAGAGAGAGTCAAACTGAGACTATATAATTTAATAACTATAAGTCAACTCTTGTGGTGTGGATGTTTTGATAAATACATATGTACTCAACATGTTCCAACTTTGAACACTATCCTCTTCATTCAAAAAAATAAAAATCTTCAAATTGGAAGCAAGATTCTGTGTTCTAAATCATTCAAAAAAATAAAAATCTTCAAATTGGAAGCAAGATTCTGTGTTCTAAACGTAAGTGTCAAATAGGCACTCTCTTGTTTCTCAAGTGTTTACTGATCAGCCAACCATGTTAGGAACTCAACTAGAAAAACAAAAACAATGCAGACATAATAACCATGATCTTTACACATACAAAGATATATTATTGACATTCAAAGTGTAGGTACACAACACTTCCCTATTTATGCTTTGTGGAAATAAAATACAACATTATTGTTTCACGTATTAACAGCAAACCTAAACCTAAGCCAGGGCTTCTTTGCTTTTAATGTTGAACACCTTTGATAAGAGAACATCTTCCACAACCTAATCAAAACCATTTAGGAACAAAATCATGACTAATTTTAAGCTCATGGCATGAAATTCTTACTCTAGCAGATGATATAATTGAAACAAAATTAGAAATGAAAGTGTTTCTATTGGTTTACAAAATATTGGTAGCAGCAAAAAAAGAAATCACATTAAATACAATTACTAGATAGTGAGACCTAGAGGTATGGAGCGACTTACTGACGCTTGCAAAGAAACTCATAATATTACCCTTTCAGAGGAAGATACCAAACACAAACTTGGAATTTTGTTGTGATATTGTGTGGTGAGCCTATGGTTGGTGAATATTGAATTGGAAATTTTAATTGATTAATTATTTTAATGGGTTAGTATACTATTTGGTCTATACAAACCCCTTCTAAACACAAACTTGTCCACCTCCACCTTTTTTTCAAAAGCATAGTAGTTGTATTTCAAGTGCATTGTGAACCATGAAATTTCTTATTTTCTCTCTTTTACTTTCTTTTTCTATTCTAGTTTCTCCATGAACTCGTATATTGCAATTGTAGAGGAAGCATACTCAAAGAAGTAGTAAGTCACCAGAGGTCACAATTTGACATGGTTTGAGAGATGGAAAGAGCAGAACAGAATCAATTCTGGTGGTCTGTTGCCTTGTAGCAACAATGCCTTATTTTGAAAATTGTATAACCCTGTCCTCAAACCAAAAAACAAATAAATTTGTAATATTTGTATTTTGAACTACAGTTATTATTTTTGTGTGTAAATTATGTAGACAGTACATATTAGGTTATATATCTGTAAGTTCTCTAAACAAAACTGTATATTAGATTGAATTATCTTTCCTCCTCCCATGGAAGCACACCAGTGAAACCAAACTATGAAGACCAAAACCATCGCACCAAAGACCTAGCTTTCGCCGTTCGCAAAGAATCAATCGCCAACCGCACGACTAACTAAAGGCAAAGCAGCTACTAACTCATCAACTAAAGGTGTGGATGAAGCCCTCAACCATTTGGAGGATCACAGATCCCTATGGAAACCTCTTTGCCCTGAATTATAGCCTCCATGGAAGCAACACTAGATCTACAAAGGGAATAATCTGTAACTGTCATATCAAAGAGACTACACTCCAATCACAATCACCAAAACACCTTTGTTGTGGAAGATCTACAATCCCAAAATTGAAATTCCAAAGAAACCTAGCTACGTAGAGAAGAAAACCAACATTGTAGTGAAACTATGATCTCCATGGATCACACAACATTGAATATACAAGTATCAAATACATAACAATTATTAAAAGCCGTACACTAAGTATACAAAAACACTAAATAGATATAGTTAATTGCATAGGTAAGTGCTCAAGCACATCCTTGTATTATTCTTTTTAATCTTTAAACAATATAGTGCTCTTGGCCTGAGTAAATATTTGAACAAGTATTACTCCATGGTTATGAATTCTCAACACAATACAAAAAACTATAAGTTCCTAGTCATCAAGGAATTGGAGAAAACGAGAAATTGGAGGCAGCTTCACATCTGAAACCCCTTCGAGGATTTGAATTACTGGACTCATTGTTGGCCTATGATTTTCATCTTGGATGCACCAACAAGAAACTCTACAAATTCTCCATACCTCTTCAACATCAACATTTTTCTCCAACTTATGGTCTGATAGACTAAGGACATCACCGCCTTCTATGGATGCAATTGCAGCCCAAATTGGGAAGAATTTAAATTTCCCCTCTTCGGATTGATCAGTGTTTATTCTTTCCGATATCAATTCAAAAAAGCATCATTCCATAGTTGTAAACATCAGCTTTAGTTGTTATGTTTATTCTTCCCCATATCAATTCAAAAAAGCATCATTCCATAGCTGTATATATCAGCTTTAGTTGTTATGTCTAACCTTAATATCCACTCTAGCGCTAGATATCCAATTGTTCCTTTCATGGTTGTCAGAACCCTGCTAAATTCTCGCCAAACAAGCTTGCTAGATCAAAATCCATTACTTTTGGGTAGAGTTCCAACATTTAATAGAACGTTTGATGGTCATGGTGTATGATACAGTCCCTGCACTCTTCATGGAGATAAGCCTGATAAAAGAGAATGAATAGAAATCTTGTATATACTTAATCAATCAACTGAGTACAATTATATAAGCTAATAGAATAAAACCCTAACAATCTAAAGGACTAAACTATCCTTAATGAACAATATAAACTACAAATTCACACCCCCCTTCAAACTGAGGATGTGAGCGCAGAAAGTATCAAAAGTTTGCCAAGAAGAAAACGAAAACGAACAATAGTGTGAGTCTTCGTAAAAAAATCGGCCAACTAAAGAGAGGGAACAAAAGGCAGAGTAATAGTGTCAACCTGAAGATGTTGTCTGACAAAGTGACAGTCTATTTCAATATGCTTTGTCCGCTCATGGAAGACTGAATTATGGGCAATCTGGACAGCACTCTGATTATCACAATACAACGGAGTCGAATCAGAAAAAGAGACCCATATCAAAAAGAAGCCACCGAAGCCAAACGATCTCGGAAATAGCATGAGTCATGGCACAATACTCAGCCTCAGCAGTGGAACGAGCAACAACAGATTGTTTCTTACTCTTCCAAGATATGAGAGAATCTTCGAGGAAAACACAAAGACCAAAAGTGGATTTGCGATCAGAGATGTCACCTGCCCAATCAGCATCAACATAGGCACGGAGAGTCAAGTTCGAAGAGGCAGAGAACAGCAGACATTGCAACAGAGTGCCACGTAGGTAGCGCAGAGTACGGAGAAAGGTGGCCTAGTGTGTAGAACAAGGAGCAAAAACAAACTGACTGAGAATATGCACAACATAGGAGATATCCGAACGAGTAACGGTGAGATAACCAAGGCAGCCAACCAACTTGCGATACAAAGTGGGGTCCTCAAGAGAAACGCAATCAGAAGCAAAAACCTAAGCTTGCAACTCAATAGGAGTGTCAACAATTTTGTCATCAGTGAGATTGGCACGAGAAAGAATATCACAGGCATATTTAGTCTGAGAGAGAAGATATCCAATAGGACAAGTAGCAACCTCAATACCAAGAAAACACCGAAGAGACACCAAATCCTTCATCTCAAACTCCTTGAACAACTGATGCTTAACCTCCTCAATAGTACTACAATCAGAGACAGTGATGATCATACCATCCACATATAAGAGAAGGAGAACAAGGCCAACAGAAGTGCGCCAAACAAAGAGAGTACAATCATGATGACTAGGGCGAAAGCCAAGCTGAAGTGCAACAGAGTGAAATCACTCATACAAAGCACAAGGAGATTGCTTGAGACCATATAAAGCACGGCAAAGACGACAAACAATACCAGAAGGGTGAGAGAGACCCGATAGAGGGCGTATATACACTTCTTCAGCAAGATGCCCATTCAGAAAAGCATTTTTGACAGCATTTTTGACATCTAGTTGAAACAAAGGCCAATGATGGGCAACAGCAACAAAGATAAGAGTGTGAACAGTAATCATCTTGGCAACGGGGGCAAAAGTCTCATTGTAATCAATCCCATATCCTGAGAAAAGCCTTGGGCAACCAAACGAACTTTGTACCATTCTAAAGAACCATCATAAAAGGTTTTGACCTTATAGACCCATTTACATCCTAAAACATTCTTGCCAGCAGGTAATGGAACCAAATCCCAAGTCTGAGTGTTAGCCAAAACAGTTAACTCATCATACATGGCAGCAATCTAATTTGGATCATGGCAGGCTTCTTTGTAGGATCTGGACTCAAAATAAGTATGAAGACAAGAAAGAAAAGACTGATAGGAAAGGGAAAAACATGTACTACCAAAACGAAGCCAGTTCAGAGAATGACGATCTCGCTTTGGAAAGCGATGTGTAGGAGGAGCGAGATCTAAAGAACAGGCGAGCTCGGAAGTGTTTTGTAGCTCTGATAAACAAGAAAAGGAGCAGGGGTAGCGGGAGCTGGAGAGGGAATAGGAAAAGCAGGGAAGGGAGTAGCTGGCGAGATATCAGGAGAGCTAGTAAAAGGCAAGGTAGAGACCTCAAGATCATAAACAAACTCAACAGGATAAACATCAGGAGGAAATGGGTCAATACAATATGAACCAATTCATCCTTGGTAATAGGGATGGGTGGAAGGTATAGTGTAGTAGAGTAGTTTTTCTAAAAAAGTGACATGCCTAGACACATAGCTTTCTGGTGGCAGGATCATAGCACCGATAACCTTTCTGAATAATGCCATACCCTAAAAAGACACATAGGACACAATGAGATCTAAGCTTAGAGCACTCCCGTTTAGGAAGGAGCCCAAAGCATGCAGAACCGAAAACACGAAGAAGAGAATAATTGGGAGTAACACCAAAAAGACGCTCATATGGAGATGAGCCTGAGAGAATAGGAGTAGGCATCCGATTGAGAAGATATGCAGCAGTGAGCACAGCTTCTCCCCAAAAGACTGAAGGGACAAAAGACGAGAGCAGCAAAGAGCGAGCTGTATCAAGGAGATGGCGATGTTTGCGCTTAGCTCGACCATTTTAGGCAGGAGTGTCAAAACACGAAGACTGATGAATAGTGCCATGAGTAGCTAAAAACTCGTCAAACTCAGACAAGTAATACTCCCCAAGTTAGAACGGAAAACTTTAATGATGGTGGAAAACTGAGTGCGCATCGTGGAGTGAAAATTAAAATATATTTTGTAAAAATCAGATTTTCGGGTCATCAAATAAACCCAGGTAAACCGACTGTAATCATCCACAAAAGACACATAATATTGCGAACCACCCTGGGTAACTATAGAGGAAGGACCCCAAAAATCAGTATGAACCAATTGAAAAGTAGAAGATGAAATAGAACTACTTTTATTAAAAAAAAGAGCAGACATTTTAGCCAGTTTACAACCACGACACTCAGAAATATCATCAACGGAAAAATTGCCTAAATGTCCAGACCGAACTAACATCCTCAAACGGTTACTCGATAGATGATCTAACCTAGAATACCAAATATAAAATAAAGAAAACTTATTGCTTAAAACAAAAGAAGACAATGCAGTAGAAGACACTTCTGGAGGAACATGCAAGCTGTCCAAGATATATAGTTCTCCAACTCTACGCCTAATCCCAATCTACCTCTTGGATACCTGATCCTGCACAACACAACGAGGAGAAGAGAAAACAACATCAAAATCGGAATCATATAATTGACTAATAGAAATAAGCCTGAGTGAGAGGTGAGGCACATAAAATACATGAGAAAGAGACGAATGGGAAGAGGAAATAGAGTGTACGGGCATAGAAGAACTATTAGCGGTAGCAATAGTGATAGGAGAAGGAGAGACAATTACTGAGGAGAGATGCAAAAAGGGTCATATGATGTGAACAACTAGAATCAAAAATCCACAAAGTGTGGATATTACCTGAAGAGAATGAACCAGACAAACCTGAGTGGTAGTCATAGCAGAGGCCTAGGACGAAAGATTTGGATTGGCCACCATGAAAGACTCAAACTGCTCAAACATAGGCTGCATATTGGAAGACGGACCATCCTCAGAAACTGGTGCAGAAAAGGCGGCAGATGAGCGAGATCCCGAAGATGTCGACTAAGAGGACGGTGGACCAGATGAACGACCCTTTGGCTACGAAAGTTTAGGACAAGTATGTTTCTAATGGCCTCTCTGATGACAAAAGCTGCACTCATCCATGGAAACCCAAGGCTTAGGCTTAACAGTAACCTGAAATAAATGAGATGACGGGGTAGGCAAGAGCGGAGGAGTGGCAAAAACTGACTAGGAGGCAGGAGCACCATGAGCCACCTTGAACCGAGTTTCTTCTACAATAGGCTTACGGACAGCACCATCAACAGAAGACACGGGGGACCGATGAAGAATAGCTCCCCGAAGTGGCTCAAATTGATCACAAAGGGCCATAAGAAACTGAACAAGGCGTTGCTTCTCCCGATACTTGGTATAACTGTCAAGTAATTGCAAATCTGATGGTTCCATTAAAGCAAGCTGATCCCAATAAGTAGTCATCTCATAGTAGAACTCCTGAATGGACTTATCTTTCTGACTAACACCGCGAATAGAGATCTCAAGTTCATACTGTTTTGTAGACTCAAGGAACATAGTTTTCAAATAGTCCCAAACTTGTTTAGAAGTAGAATACTTGAAAAAAAATTCATACCAATGCTAGTTTGAACCGAATTATGAAACCAAGTAAGAATTTGTACATTTTCCTTATCCCATTTAGCAACGTCGGCCTCAGTTCCTTTGGATTCTGTAGGTCTAATAGTTACACCTGTAAGCTTTCTGAATAAGAACTGTATATTCAAATTGTACGTAATACAAAGATTACAACCAATATTTCTAGTAATCCTAAACCCAAATCTATAATAATCTATAATAGGAAATAACCCTATACAATCAATCTACAATCAATCGAATATTCACAATCAACTTAATTGATATATTGCCATAATTCCATAATATTCGCACACCCCCGCTCAAACTCAACGTGTTTTAGCGGAAAACACTGAGAATTTGCCAAGAAGAAACTGAAATCGAGCAATGATGTGAGTCTTCGTAAGGAAATCAGCAAGTTGCTATGCCGAAGCGACGAAAGGAAGCGAGAGGGAACCAGACTACAGATGCTGACGTACAAAATGACAATCAATCTCAATGTGCTTTGTCCGCTCATGAAAGACAGTGTCATGTGCAATCTGAATAGCACTGCGATTGTCACAATAAAGGGAGGTCAGAAAAGACTGAGGGACATCTAAATTAGTCAAGAGACAGCGAAGCCAAACAATCTCAGCAGTGGCATGAGCTATAGCACGGTACTCAGCCTCGACAGTGGAACGCGCAACAGCAGTCTGTTTCTTGCTCTTCCAAGAAATCAAGGAATCACCAAGAAATATGTAGAAGCCAGAAATGGACTTGCGATGAGTGACACCACCAACCCAATTAGAATTAGCATAAGCTACCAAGTCCAAAGAGGAAGTAGAAAACAACAGTAAATCCTGAAAGATAATACCCCGGAGATAGTGAAGAATCTGAACCAATGCAGCCCAATGTGGAGAGCGAGGAGCAAAGACAAACTGGCTAACCACATGAACAGCATAGGCAAGATCAGGACGAGTAACCGTTAGATAGACTAAGCAACTCACGAGCTCTCGATATAGAGTAGGATCATCCAGAAGAACACCATTAGTAGTGTTGAGCTTGACATTAAACTCAATAGGGGTATCAGAAATCTTAGTGTCAGTAAGACCGGCACAATGAATAACCTCATTGGCATACTTTACCCGAGACAAAAAGTAGCCCTTGGGAGAAAAAACTACCTCAATACCAAGGAAATACCACAATGGGCCCAGATCCTTCATTTCAAAGGTGCGGAAAAGATGCTGCTTGATCTCAGATATAGCAGAAGAGTCAAAACCAGTGATGATCATATCATCCACATAGAGTAATAACGCAACAAATCCAGCAGAAGTGTGGAGAAGAAATAAAGTAGAGTCCTGGACACTTGGATCCAGGATGAGATCCAAACTCAGTAACAGTAGTCTGATCTGTTTCAGACCATACAGAGCACACCAAAGGCAACAAACCTGTCCAGAGGAATAGTGAAGGCCAAGGGAAGAACGCATGTAAACCTCCTCGGTGAGATGATCATTAAGAAAGGCATTCTTAACATCCATCTGATAAAGAGGCCAGGAACAAACAACAGCAACAGAGAACAAAGTACGAACAATAGTCATCTTGGCAACAGGAGCACAGGTCTCCTTATAATCAATATCATACTCCTGGGAAAAACCTTTAGCAACCAAATGAGATTTGTAGCGCTCAAAAGAACCATCAAAATGAGTCTTGACTTTGTAGACCCATTTGCAACCAACCAGATTCTTACTAGCAGGCAAAGGAACTAACTCCCAAGTACTAGTTTTCTGTAGAGCAGACAATTCATCCTCCATAACTTGAACCTAATGAGAATCCTGACAGGCCTCCTTGTAAGACTAATGTTCTAAAAAAGAGTGAATAGCAGACAAAAAAGTACGATAGGAAGCAGAAAAACATGTATTAGACCAACCCAATTTGTTTGGAGGGTGATGCGCTTGAGTAAGATATCGGTGTGCAACAGGATCAAAGTCTTCAGAAGCAGAAGGATCAGTAGCAAGGGCAGAGACAACCGGTGGAGGACGAGCCTTACGACGAGAATAAACTAACAATGAATGAGGAGAAGAAACCAAAGGAGGAAAAGCAGCCAGAGGTGAAGCAAGGGGAGAAGATGGAACAAGCTCAGGAAGAACAATGGAGATGTACTCATTAGACGGGACCTCAGAAGGACACATATCAATATGAACCAAATCCTCTTTGGAAACTAGGATGGTGAGAGGAGGAAGCTAAAGGTAAGGTAGACATTCGAGAAAGGTAACATGGCGGGAGACATAAAGGCGACGGGAAACAAGGTCATAACAGCGATAACATTTTTGAGTGAGACTATAACTCAAAAAGACACATAAGACAAACCAGGCACTAAGTTTGGTCCTATCTTTACGGGGTAAAAGGACAAAACAAACAGACCCAAAAACACAAAGGAGGAAGTAATTAGGAAGTTGAGAAAATAGAGCCTCATAAGAAGCCAACCAGAAAGAAGGGGGTAGGCATACGGTTGAGAAGAAAAGCAGCAGTAAGAATTGCCTCACCCCAAAACGGAGCCGGAACAGAGGCAGAGAGAAGGAGAGACCTAACTCTCTCAGGAAGATGATGGTGTTTACGCTCAACTTGACCATTTTGAGGTGTATCAGTACAAGAAGTTTGGTGAATGGTACCCAATTTGACCAAATATTTACAAAATGTAGTTTTAAAGTATTCCCCACCCAAGTAAGACCACAACAATTTAATAGTAGACCCAAACTGTGTAGTGACCATAGACTGGAAAGTACGATATATCTGGTAAAAGTTAGACCTATAAATCATAAGATAAACCCAAGTGTAACGGGTGCAGTTATCCACAAATTACCCATAGTATGCAGAACCCCCTTTGGTAAGAATAGGAGAAGAGCCCCAAACATCATTATGAACTAAAGAAAATGGTGTATCAGATATAGAAATGCTTTTACAAAAAGGTAAGGCTGTCATCTTGGCAAGTTTACACTCACGACATTCAATAAGTTCACTAGGAGAAACTTTGCCCAAGATACCTGATTGAGCTAAAGACCGTAAGCGGTCAGCAGACAAATGCCCTAATCTAAAATGCCACAAGTAGAAAGGACCGGATAGAGAATCTAACTGAAAAGAGAAAAAGACAGTCAGAGAGGTTGTCAAAGGTAGATGCAAGCTCTCTACCACATAGAGGTCCCAACTCTACAGCCAATCCCAATCGGCTGCTTAGACATCCGATCCGGCACAGAACAGATAGAAGAAGAAAATATAACATCAAAACCAGAAGCATCAAGCTGACTGATGATAATAAACTGACAGATAACTGAGGAACATAAAGGACAGGTGGAATAGAGACAGCAGACATAGTAGACGGTAGGACAGACCCAACAGATATAACAGACATTCCAAACCTATTAGCAGCATTGACAGTAATAGGAAAGGGAGGAGGAGTACAATTTTTAAGTAAGGAGAGATGGGGAGTCATATGATGAGAGGCACCAGAGTCAAAAAGCCACACAGATGAAGAAATACCTGAAGAAGACCCAAGCAAACCTGAATGAAAAGAGGAAACAAAGAAGGCAGACAGGGATGGCTGGGAGGTAGACAATGTATGCTAAAGCTGACTAATCTGAGCAGTCAAGGAAGCCAAGTTAGGATCAGGAGCCGGAGCCGGAGCAGATGTAGTAGAACCAGTAGGAGGCCGAACGGTACTCAGAGGAGGAGCGCAGAATTTGATCAGAAATTGCTGAGAAGAAAAGGAAGACACCGGCAAAGCAGAAAAACATCCCTTCTTGGGACAATGATACTTCCAATAACCCCTCTGATGGCAGAAGGCACACTCATCAAAAGCTAGAGACATCGTAACAACTAGAAGTATGAGAGGTTAAAGTGTAATAAATTGAAAATAGGTAACCAGGGGTCAAACGGTAATAACGACAAATCTAGGGGTTATAGTGTAATAAGCCTGAAATAAGGGTGTTAAGTATAATACCCAAGCAGATTCTGAGAATAGTGCTGAGAACCACCGAACAAATCAAGAACCAGAGAGAAACTGAAAGAGATCGAAGCTGAGAGACGAACTCCACGTTCACCGCACTAAGAGAGGTGAACCAAAAGTCGAACACAGAGACCAAAGAACCAAAGATTAAACTTGCGACCTGACGACCCAACTAGAGGTCACGAATGATGACGAGTCACAACGAATGATGACGAATCGTGATTTTGGCGACCACCCAACAATCGCAACCAGGGAGCTCAATGGAGAGACAAAGGACAATACCAGAAATCAAGCGGTGACCACCCAACGATCGCGAACACAGAGCTCGATTGAGAGACTAAGGACGAAACCAAAAATCAAAAGCAACAACCAAAGTGTGATGGCTCCTAGGGTTTCGTACCAAGCTTTGATATCATGTAAGGTTTCTGAATAAGAATTGTATATTCAAATTGTACGTAATACAAAGATTACAACCAATATTTATAGCAATCCTAAACCTAATCTATAATAGGAAATAACCCTATACAATCAATCTACAATCAATCGAATATTCACAATCAACCTAATTGATATATTGCCATAATTCCATAATATTCTCACAACACCAATAATATAGTTCCACATACCTTTACCCATTATAAAATTCTTCATTACATGAGACCAATAAGAATAATTGGTACCATCTACCTTAGTGGTGATAGCTTGCAGTTTATCATCAGCCATGTTGCTATAATCAAACTATCAAATGGTTTGAGAGAGCTAGATAAGAAGCCGCATTGTTGGAGCTGCAAACCAATCCCAAGAGTACCTCATCTCTTCCTCCTCAACTAAACCAGATAGAGATGGGTCGATACAGAGAGAAGATCACTCGCCTGTGTGAGATATGCAACCTAGGTCTCCGACTGAACCAGAGACCAGTGACGAAGGACCAGAGACCAGCGATGAAAGTTTCCTAGGGCTCCAACTGAACCAAAACCAACACCAGCAAGTGTGAATCGAACTACTTCAATGTGCGAAGAAGCGAACCTCAGCGAAGGCCTTGCAACGACCTTGCAAAGAAAGAGAAAGAGAAAGAGTTGCGATGGCCTTGCGATGAGAGAGAGACAGCTGCAACAACCTTGCAAAGAAAGAGAAACGACTGCGATGGTCGATGATGACTTGAAACAGGTATTCTAACATCTAGAACCTTGCTCTGATACCATGATAACAGAGAAGAGGAATTTTGTATATTGAATATTTTAAGCAATCAATCAAAAGTTGAGTATAAATATATAAACTAAATAGAATAAAACCCTAATAAGCTAAAAGACTAAACTACCCTTAATGAATAATATAAAATACAATAGTTCACAGAAGGAACCAGCCAAGGTGAAAGAGGTTGATTCTTTATGCAGGTGCTTGAAATGGTGTATTGGCCGCCAAATCAAAGCCCTTAAAGACTTAAGGTTACAAGGGAAAAAGAAAGTAGTGAATTCTATTGATGCCAAGAAAACCATACATTTCTTGGAAAGAGGTTCGATGGGGAGGGTAGTGGACTAGTATAGGGGCATCCCCTCTACAACGAATATGCTAATCACCCTTGGAAGGTCTTGACCAGAGTTGGGTTTGATGTTAAAGATCTTTTTTATCTATTTTGTTGCCATCAAAAGAGGAGACAGAAAGGGGTTTTGAATGAAAAAAGTTGAGTTCTGATTGGTGGTCTCTAGTAGGAGAGTGTTGTCATGGAAATGGTGGTCCAAAGGCCATTTGGGTTCTCACTTCCTAGGCTATCACTACACCTATAGAATGAGGAGGTTGTTAAGGTGTTTGTGGAAGTGTTCCAAGGGTTGACAAAGACACAAGCAAAGATGTCAATATCGTTGGGCTAGGCTTCTTGTCGAAGATTACATAAATACAATTTCTGACGATTGTAATAGTGGAGGTAAATCCTTGGCTTTTGAGATCCCTCTTTGGACAAAATTGGGGTCAAGTGCATGATAGTCGAAGGTCTGCGTACCACACAATGATTGGAGGTGGTCGCATTGACCAAACGAGGAGGATAATGGAGGGTCACACGAGGTCAATACATGGGTTTGCTAGGCAAAAAGGCGTGCATTGTTAGTGCATGACAATTGTCATCTAGTTCAAATATGAATAGACAAAAGGACAAGAAAGTGCTATAGGTAAGGGTGTTCAACGGTCGAGTCAGCCCGGGTTTGTCTATAACCCATCACCTGAACCGACTGTAAGCTTGGGAAATTTCAGCCAATTACAAATTGCCACATACTACAAAGGCCTACAAAATATGGTACAATTATTGGCAAATTAAATCTTGCCACGTGTCTAATTGGTCTCAAATCAAGATTACATGGTGGTCAAATTAAATGTCATGTGTTAAAATGATGCAGTAAGTCTTTGACTAATCAAATTAAGTCATAGTGATGTAGCAAATAAGTTTTTGACTAATCAAATTAAGCCACTTGTCACATTGAGGTGGTCAAGCCAATAAAATTATGGCACACCATTAAGGTGATATTTAGGTATTTATCTCTAAATAAATCAAAGATAATTATCGAAGAAGTTAAAGTCTATTAAGACGACTCCATCCATTCCTATAAATAGAGGTGATCTCCACCAGAATTTTTCATACAAATTCTACATACATAAATCAAGTTGTAGAGACAAAAATTTACATCAAGCAAGAGAAAGCTCCATCGAATTCAAGCCTAAAGCCCCAAGGTTTCTTCACCAAAGCCGATCAATCTCCATAAAACATAAAGTTCGGAGATTTAAATCAAAGTTTGTCATCAAAATCTACAAATCTATAGTCGTCTTCTACTAAATTAGAGGGGATTCTACAAATCTGATTTGGAAAAAAGCTATCAAGCCCTCAAATCAAAGTTCTACAAATTCGCCGTCTTCTTCGCGTTACTTGGAGGAGATTTCGCCGCTCAATTCGGGAACAAACTATCAAGCCCTCGAATCAACTTATTGAAGAGAAGAATCAAAGGATTTTCTTTGAATAGAAATTTCATCAGAGATTGTAGCCGTTTTATTTTGAATCAATAAATTTATATTTGTTACTCTATTTTTCCGTCTTTATTTTTGCAGACAGAATATTTGTGCACACCAACCATTTCGGATTCCAAAACTGACCTTCCAATTTTGACCGTATCTCCTTTCAAAATCAACCGATTTTCTTCCTCCAGT